AAAAAAAAAAAAGAAAAATATTTTTGTAGAGAGGAGGTCTTGCTATGTTGCCCAGGCTGGTCTTGAATTCCTTTTAAGATACTCCCATCTCTGCTTCCCAAACAACTGTGACTACAGGCATGAGCCACCGCAATGAGCCTGAAGAGATTTCTTTAATCTAGCATCCAATACTTGATAGGATTGAGAAAGGCAGTAGTGTTTTTAAAAATTACTTAATAATTCAGTAAGAATCTATCTCAACCTTGACCTCTGCCTTCTCTCACACTCCACATCCAGTCTGTCAGGAAATCCTGTTGTGTCTTCAACATGTATTGAAGATCTCCACCCAGCAACCCCCTGGCCTCCTCCCCTGCTTCTCTCCTCTGACCATCTCGTACCACCACTATGACCCTGGTCAGGACCACTATCATCTCCCGCCTGGATGTTGCCGCAGCTTGGCCCCCATGCTTCTACCCAAATCTTCCCACAGTCTTTCTCAACTCAGCAGCCAGAGAATGCTTTTAAATCGGGAGAGAGATCATGTCGCCTCTCTGCTCAGAACCCTCCCACAGTTCCCATCTCAGTCAGAGTAAAAGCCAAAGCCCCAGCAATAACCTCCCAGGGCTTACACGATCTGTGCTGATCCCAGCCCAGCAACTCCCTGGCCTCCTGCCCTAATTCTCTCCCTCTCTCCTTCTGCTCCACTGACCTCCTTCCAGAGCCTCAGACACACCTCAGACACTTTATTCCGTTGTTTCTGCCTACAATCCTCTTCCCTCAGCACCTCGGCCAGCTCCTTCCCCTCCTTCAAATCTTGGCTTAATTTTCACTTAGGAGGCCACCCCTGACCATTTTATTTAACATTGCCATCTGTCCTCATGCCCACCATGCTAATTTCTTCCTTCCTTCTTTCTTTCCTTCCCTTCCCTCCCCTCACCTCCCTCCCTCCCCCCACCTCTCTTCCTTTTTTTTTTTTTGTGTGTCAAGATCTCACTCTGTCACCAAGGCTGGAGTGCAGTAGCACAGTCACAGCTCACTGCCACCTCAAATTCCCAGGCTCAAGCGATCCTCCCACCTCAGCCTCCCTAGTAGCTGGGACTACAGACAGTGCATGCCATCATGCCTAATTAATTTTTTTAGAATTTTATTTTATTTTGAGACGAAGTTTCACTCTTCTTGCCCAGGCTGAAGTGCAATGGTGCAATCCCGGCTCACTGCAACCTCCACCTCCCAGATTCAAGTAATCCTCCTGCCTCAACCTCCCAAGTAGCTGGGATTACAGGCACGTGCCACCACGCCCGGCTAAGTTTTGTATTTTTAGTAGAGATGGCGTTTCACAATGTTGGCCAGGCTGGTTTCAAACGCCTGACCTCAGGTGATCCAGCCTTCCAAAGTGCTGGGATTATAGGCATAAGCCACCATGCCTGGCCATTTTTTTAATTTTTTGTAGACACAAGGTCTCACTATGTTGCACAGGCTGGTCTTGAATTCCTGGTCTCAAGTGATCTTCCTGCCTAAAATTCCTAAAGTGCTGCGATTGCCAGCATGAACCACCATGCCTGGTTTCATGTTCATTTCTTCTTGCTGTTGCAACATAGTTTGCAGTTTCCTAAATTCAGTGGCTTAAAACACTACAAATCTACCATCTTACAATTCTGGGGGCCAGAAGCCCAAACTAGGTTTATTAAGGCTAAAGTCAAGGTGTCAGCAGGGCTACATTCCTTTTGAAGGCTCTAAAGTGTACCCTTGGCTTTTCCAGCTTCTAGAAGCCATCCCCATTCCTTGGATCATGGCCCCTGACTCCATCTTCAAAGTCATAAGTGAAGCATCTTCAAATCTCCCTCTCTGACCTCTGCTTCCATCAACCACATCTCCTGCTCCAGTTCTGACTCTCCTACCCTCATTTTTTTTTTTTTTTTTTTTTTTTGAGACGGAGTCTTGCTCTGTAGCCCGGGCTGGAGTGCAGTGGCCGGATCTCAGCTCACTGCAAGCTCCGCCTCCCGGGTTTGCGCCATTCTCCTGCCTCAGCCTCCAGAGTAGCTGGGACTACAGGCGCCCGCCACCTCGCCCGGCTAGTTTTTTGTATTTTTAGTAGAGATGGGGTTTCACCGTGTTAGCCAGGATGGTCTCGATCTCCTGACCTTGTGATCCGCCCGTCTCGGCCTCCCAAAGTGCTGGGATTACAGGCTTGAGCCACCGCGCCCGGCCCTTTTTTTTTTTTTTTGAGACAGGGTCTCGCTCTGTCTCCCAGGCTGGAGTGCAGTGGCCAGATCTCAGCTCACTGCAAGCTCTGCCTCCCGGATTTATGCCATTCTCCTGCCTCAGCCTACCGAGTAGCTGGGAAGGCGCCCACCACCTCGCCCGGCTAGTTTTTTGTATTTTTCAGTAGAGATGGGGTTTCACCGTGTTAGCCAGGATGGTCTTGATCTCCTGACCTCGTGATCCGCCCGTCTTGGCCTCCCAAAGTGCTGGGATTACAGGCTTGAACCACTGCGCCCGGCCCCTCTTTCTTTTATAAAGACCCTTGTGATTGCTGGGCATGGTGGCTCTCACCCATAATACTAACACTCTGGGAGGTCAAGGCAGGAGGAACACCTGAGGCCCAAAGTTTGAAACTAGCCTGAACAACATAGTGGGACCCCACCTCTAGAAAAAAATGAAAACAAATGTTAGCTGGATGTGGTGTGTGCCTGTAGTCCCAGCTACTTAAGAAGCTGAGGTGAGACGATCACTTTAGCCCAGGAGTTTCAGATCAGCCTGGGCGACATAACTAAATTTCATCTCTACAAAAATGAGCTGGGCATGGGTGACATGCATGTGTAGTCCCAGCTACTTGGGAAGCTGAAGTGGGAGGATCCCTTGAGCTCAGGAGGTCAAAGCTATAGTGAGCTATGATCACATCACTGCACTCCAGCCTGGATGACACGGGGAGATTCTGTCTCAAAAAAAGAAAAGAAAAGAAAAATATATTTGGTCTCTGTCCCTGGTTCTTGGTACAGAGCTTCTAAAGCTTTTATAAAGACCTCAGTGATAGAGGTGATAGGAGCATCTTTTGTTGTAATATTTGGTCTTGGTCCCAGGTTTCTAACACAAGAGCCTCTAAGAACTCTGGGATCTCCAGCATGATAAGAATGCATTTGGGGATGTTGTTGAGATGAATGGGTGGCTGCAAGCTCCTAGATCTCTTCAGGAGGAGGGCTGACTGCCAGAGGATGCAACCAGATGATTAGAGGCTTGGAACTTTCAGCCTCACCCGCTTAACTCCAGGAGGCAAGTGGGGCTGGAGATCGACTTAATCACCAATGGCCAAGGATTTTATCAATCATGCTTGCATAATAAAGCCTCCATAAACACCCTAAACAACAGGATTTGCAGAGCTTCCAGGGTTGCTGAACACAGGAGATGCTGGGAGGGTAGCATGTTCAACGGAGTGCATGGGAGCTCTGTGCCCCTCCAAACTTACCTTGCCCTGGACATCTTTCTTTTCTTTTTTTTGAGAGGGTCTGGCTCTTTTGTCCAGGCTAGAGTGCAGTGGCACAATCTCAGCTCACTACAACCTAAGCCTCCCCAGTCCCCAGCTCAAGGCATCCTCTCACCTCAGCTTCCCTGTAGCTGGAACTATAGGTGCACAACACCACACCTGGCTATTTTTTTTTTTTTTTTTTGTAGGGACAGGTTTTCATCATATTGCCCAGGGTGGTCTCAAACTCCTGAGGTTAAGTGATCTTCCCACCTCAGCCTCCCAAAGTGCTGGGATTACAGGCATAAGCCACCACATCCAGCATGTACATCTCTTTCACTGGCTGTTTCTGAGATGTATCCTTTACAATGAACCAGTAATAGGAAATGAACTGGCCCGATGTGGTGGCTCACATCTGTAATCCCAGCACTTTAAGAGGCTGAGGTGGGAGGATCGCTTGAGCCCAGGAATTTGTGGCCAGACTGGGCAACATAACAAGACCCCATTTCTACGAAAAATAAAAGAAATTAATTAGCCAGATGTAGTGGTGCAGACGTGTAGTCTCAGCTAATAGGGAGGCTGAGGTGGGAGGACCACTTGAGCCCAGGCAGTCGAGGCTGCAGTGAGCTATGACTGCACCACTGCACACCAGCCTGGGCGATAAAATGAGACCCTGTCTCTCAGAAAAAAATAAACTGTTTTTCTGAGTTCTGTAAACTGTTCTAGCAAATTATTAAACCCAAGAAGGCGGTCATGGGAACCCCTGATTTATAACAGATTGGTCAAAAGTACAGATGACAACCTAGGACTTTCCACTGGCATCTGAAATGAGGGTGGTCTCGTGGGACTGAGCCCCTCATCTGTGGGGTCTGTGCCAACTCCAGGTAGTGTCAGAATAAAATTGTGGGATACCCAGTTAATATCCAGAGCATTGGAGAATTTGGTGTAGAAACTCCACACACACATTCAGTCAGAAGTGTGTGAGGAGAGACAAACACAGGCTTTTCTTTCACCTGTCTACCTGCTTAACTGCATAGGAGAGGCAACACGTGGTGCTCATGAACAAAGCAAGCATTAAAGTCAGACCAGACTCGACATTTGACTCAGTCTTAATATCCAGGCGAGCTTGGGCAAATCACTCATTATCCCTAAGTCTTCATCACTTCATTCATAAAATGGGGATAACTGTGGCACCTGCCTGTGATTTTATGAGAACTAATGAAATACTATGCTTGGTGTTAGTGTGATCATTATACCTATTCCAAACTATCTGACAAGGACAGTGATGCATGATAACATCAACAAATTAGAAATTGTAATGAGGGCTGGGCGCGGTGGCTCACGCCTGTAATCCCAGCACTTTGGGAGGCCGAGGTGGGCGGATCACAAGGTCAGGAGATCGAGACCACAGTGAAACCCCGTCTCTACTAAATATACAAAAATTAGCCGGGCGCGGTGGCGGGCACCTGTAGTCCCAGCTACTCAGGAGGCTGAGGCAGGAAAATGGCGTGAACCCGGGAGGTGGAGCTTGCAGTGCAGCCGAGATCGTGCCACTGCGCTCCAGCCTGGGCGACAGAGCGAGACTCTGTCCCAAAAAAAAAAAAAAAGAAAGAAATTGTAATGAGTTCTCTCAGGCAAAATTCCATACAAGCAAATTACTGTCTCTCCAAAGCATTCCCATCATACTTAATTCACCATTCCCTGAACAAAATGTGCCGTCTTCATTGTCCAGGTCTTTACAGTGTTGGTTTCCCTGCCTGGGCAGCTCCCTCCATCCCATCCCAGCCCATTCCCCATCCCTCCACCTCCCCCTTCCCTCTCCACTCTCATACAACTCTTCCTCATCTTTCAGGACCCGGCTTCAATGTCACCTTAATTGGAAGCTTCTGTCACCCTCCAGAAGAGCTTCCCATTGCACTTGATGCATGCACTGTTATTTGATCATTTCTGAGTCATAGTCCAAGTCTTTTTGTACCTGAATAACATGTTGCCCAGTCAGTCTCTCTTCCTGGATTCTGAAGTCTTTCATGGTAGATCCAGCTAGAAGTGACAAAAAGACATTCTTTTGAAAAAGAGGGATGACACAGACAGACATAAGTTCTTAAATGTTTTAAATGGTACGTGAAATTTTAACAAAATTCAAAGGCTTGTGGGGAACACTTAGGAGGAAAAGTTACTAGGAATGTTATAAAGGGTTAATTTATATTTGATTGTACTTTATTTTATTTTATTTTTTGAGACAGTCTCATTCTGTCACCTAGGCTGGAGTGCAGTGGTACAATCAGGGCTCACTGCAGTCTCAAACTCCTGGTCTCAAGTAATCTCACTTAATCTTTATTTGGTTTAAGAAACTCAGTCTTGGTTGAGCATGGTGGCTTATGCCTATAATCTCAGCATTTTGGGAGGCTGAGAGGGGTATATTACTTGAGTCAAGCAGTTTGAGATCAGCCTGGGCAACATATTAAGACCCTGTCTCTACCAAAAAAACAGAGTGAATTTATGGAAGACAATTTTTCCACAGACTGGGGGTGGAGGGAATTATTTCAGGATGATTCAAGTGTATTACATATATTGTGCACTTTATTTCTATTATTATTACATTGTAATATATAATGAAATAATTATACAACTCACTATAACATAGAATCAGTGGCATCTCTGAGCTTGTTTTCCTGCATCAAGACTGTTCATGTGTGGTGACGGGAGACAGTGACAGATCATCAGCCATTAGATTCTCATAAAGAGTGTGCAACCTAGATCCCTCACATGCAAAGTGCACAACAGGGTTCGTGCTTCTATGAGAATCTAATGCTCCTACTGATCTGACAGGACATGGAGCTCAGGTGGTCATGTGAGTGATGGGAGGGGCTATAAATACAGATGAAGTTTCCCCTCACTCACTTGCTGCTCACCTCTGGCTCTGTAGCCCTGTGGTTGGAGACCCCTGCTTGAGTGCATTCAAAGGGATCCATCCCATGCCATTCTTCAGAGTCATCTTTACTGCCATCATGGTCAAACGTAGCACCCCTAAGCTCACACGGCATATGCCTCAGGTGGCATTTCATCACAATCAACAGTAAGTGGTAGCTTGAGTCATTGTGAGGTCAGTTCCTGGAAATCACCAGCATCCCATGTCCCACTGGCAAGGAGCTCAGCACTGCTCCGTGGATAACCAAACCCATGCCCAAATCCCATCTGTGTGGGTCTATCTCCTGGTATCCTTCCTAGCATCAATTCTGTATTTGTAGGAGTCCAATCAGGAGACATAAACCACTCAAAAGTTTAAACTAGAATGGGCACGGTGGCTCAAACCTGTAATCCTAGCACTTTGGGAGGCCAAGGTGGGTGGATCGCTTTGAGCTTAGGAGTTTGAGACCAAACTGGGAAACAGGACGAAACTCTGTCTCTACAAAAAACACAAAAATTAGGCGGGTGTGGTGGTACATACCTGTAATCCCAGCTACTTGGGAGGCTGAGGCAGAAGAATTGCTTTAGCCTGGCAAGTGAAGGTTGAAGTGAGCAGAGATTGTGCCACTCCAGCCTGGGCGACAGAGTAAAATCCGGTATCAAAAAATAAAAGAAAAAATATGTATGTAAATTTAATATAAAAAGTATTAAATTTTGGCTGGGCGCAGTGGCTCACGCCTATAATCCCACGACTTTGGGAGGCCGAGGCAGGCAGATCACCTGAGGTCAGGAGTTAGAGACTTGACCAACATGGAGAAACCCCGTCTCTACGAAAAATACAAAATTAGCTGGGTGTGGTGGAGCATGCCTGTGATTCCAGCTACTTGGGAGGCTGAGGCAGGAGAATTGCTTGAACCTCGGAGGCGGAGGTTGCGGTGAGCCGAGATGGTGCCATCGCACTCCAGCCTGGGCAACAAGAGCAAAACTGAATCTCAAAAAAAAAAAAAAAAAAAAAAAAGGTATTAATTTTAACAGAGGATCAGCATAATGAGGGACACTCTAGCACAAAGTAAACACAAAGTAAATATAGAACTAGCAGAGGCCAGGCATAGTGGCTCAAGCCTGTAATCCCAGCAATTTGGGAAGCCTAGGCAAGAGGATCGCTTGAGGCCAGGAGTTGGAGACCAGCCTGTGCAACATAGTGAGACCCTGTGTCTACCAAAAAAAGAAAAAAATTAGCCAGGTGTGGTCGTGGTGCACACCTGTAGTTCCAGCTACTTGGAGTCTGGGGTGGGAGGACCCCTTGAGCCTGGGAAGTCTAGGCTACAGTGAGCCAAGATCATGCCATTGCACTCCTGGGCAATAGTGAGACCCTGCCTTAGAAAGAAAAAAAAAAAGAAAAGAAAGTGCTAATCCCCCTACGGGAATCTCCTCTTCTCCTGCCTTCTCTGGAACCTCACTTGTCAGTTCTTCCTCCCACTTCCCCGTATCATTAACCTATCCCCCGCTTTTAGCTCCTTCCCACCATCATTTAAACTAATCAAACTTCTTATATTTTAAAAAACTTTCCCTAAACTCAGTGTTTCCCCTGCTTCAGGTCTCCAGTACACCCACTGAGCCATCTGCTTTCCCTGATGCCTTCTCTACACAGCAGCCTGGACCACATCTCTAATCCATGAATCTCATTATGTTACTCTTCCCCCATTTACATCACTCCTCCTTGCCTCAGGGATTAAGTCCAAACTCCTTAACAGCCCCTGCTCTGCCCTGCATTCCAAGGCAGACTCACTGCTCTTGCCCCTCTCCATTTTACCTGCTGTGGAGTCCAACTGAGCCTCATCTGCCCCCTGAATGCCCACTCTCACTCCTCTGGGAGGCTCTGAAGTGGGTGATGCCCTCTGCTTAGAATACGCTTCCCCTTAAACCTCTACTCTCTTCCTGGGTAGCTTCGGCTCCTCTGTCACTTCTCTGCTTTGGCATCATCTCCTCCTGGAAGCTTTCCTTGACTCCCCAGATTCTCAGGAGTATGGGAGGTGAGGTGCTCCTCCCATATATGAATGGAGATTAGGGAGTATGTGTTATTCATGTTTAATTCACCAGTGCTTAGCTCAGTACCTGGCACAAAATAGTCACTGTGGTGGCCAAGGTAACGACAGCCCTCCCACCCCCCAGCAATAGCTCATGTCCTATGTTACACTGCACAAATACATAGGAAGGGGAATTAAGAGTGCAGATGGAATTAATGTTGCTAATCAGCTGACCTTAAAACAAGATTATCTGGCAGTATCTGGGTGAGCCCATGTAATTACAAGTGTTCCTTAAATGTGGAAAAGGGAGGCAGAAGGTTAAGAACCAGAGATAGTGGGCACAATGGCTCATGCCTGTATTACCAATACTTTGGGAGGCCAAGACAGGAAAATCCCTTGAGTCCAGGAGTTCAAGGCCAGCCCTGACAACATAGTGAGGCCTCATCTCTACAAAAAACCCCAAAATTCCCCAAGTGTCATGGTGCTTACCTGTAGTCCCAGCTACTGGGAAGGATGAAGTGGGAGGGTCACTTGAGACTGGGAGTTTGAGGCTACAATGAGCCATGATAGGACAACTGAACTCCATCCTGAGTGACAGAGCAAGGTCCTGCTTCTAAAGAAAAAAAGGACATTGGAATTAGGGTCCCCTCCATCCTAAGGTGCCTACAAGGCATCTCTCTCTGCAAACGAGTAAACGTCATCCTCCAACTCCTCACAGAGTGGAGCAGCAGGAAAACTCCCTCACCTCATTTCTGTGTGGCTTGGGAGGCCTGACAGCCCAATAACCAGCTCCTTGCTGATGAAGCAATTGGGAAATGGCTCGAGTTGAGTTAAGGAGAATTTGGATCCTTCTTTTGGTTCTCAATAGGCAGGGTAGGGGCCAGGCATGGTGGCTCATACGTGTAATCCTTGCACTTTGGGAGGCCACGGTGAGAGGATCGCTTGAGGCCAGGAGCTCAAGACCAGCCTGGACAACACAGCAAGACCCGGGTGGCATGCACCTGTAGTCCCCACTACTTGGTAGAATGAGGTAGGAGGGTTGATCACTTGATCCCAGGAGTTTCAGGCTTCAGTGAGCCATAATGGCTTACCACTGCACTCCATAATGCACTGTTCCATAATGGGCACCACTGCACTCCAGCCTGGGTGACAGAGCCAGACGATGTCTCAAAAAGTGACAAAAAAAAAAAAAAAAAAGAGAGAGAGAGAGACTATAGGCAGCCACTGCCACATCTGGCTAATTTTTAAATATTCTGTAGAGACGAGGTCTTGCTAGGTTGCCCAGGCTGGTCTAAAACTCCTGGCATCAGGCCAGGCGCAGTGGCTCATGCCTGCAATCCCAGCACTTTGGGAGGCCAAGGCAGGCAAATCACCTGAGGTCAGGAGTTCAAGATCAGCCTGGCCAACACGGCGAAACCCCGTCTCTACTAAAAATACAAAAATTGGCCAGGCAGTAGTGGCATGTGCCTGTAATCCTAGGTACTCAGGAGGCTGAGGCAGGAGAATCACTTGAACCCAGGAGGCGGAGGTTGCAGTGAGCCAAGATCGTGCCACTGCATGCACTCTACCCTGAGTGACAAAGTGAGACTCTGTCTCAAAACAAACAAATACAAACAAACAAACAAAAAACCTCCTGGCATCAAGAGATCTTCCTGTCTCAGCCTCCCAATGCCCTGGGTTTATATATTTTTTTCAGTATAATTGAAGACACTTGTTCTTATATGGCTTTAAGAGATAAAGAAAAAAAAAAAACAGATAATAACAAATGTTGGTGAAGGCCGGGCATGGTAGCTCAGCCTGTAATTCCAGAACTTTGGGAGGCTGAGGTGGGCAGATCACTTGAGGCCAGGAGTAAGAGACCAGCCTGAGCAACATGGTAAAACTCCATCACTACAAAAACATATAAAAATTAGCCAAGCATGGTGGCATGCACCTGTAATTTTCAGCTACTCAGAAGGCTGAGATGAGAAAATCACTTGTGCCTGGGAGATCAAGGTTGCAGTGAACTGTGATGGCATCACTGTGCTGCAGCCAGAGAGACAGAACAAGCCCCTGTCTAGAAAAAAACAAAAATGTCAGTGAAGATGTGGAGGAACTGGAACTCACATACATTACTGGTGGGAACATAAAATCATGTAACCACTTTCGGTATTTCTTTTCGTGTCATTTTAATTGGATTTTTTTAAAAAATCAAGATAAGGTCTCACTATCTTGCCCAGGCTGATCTTGAACTTGTGGGCTCAAGTAATCCTCCCAGCTGAGCCTCCTGAGTAGCTGGGACTACGGGTGTGAGCCATTGCACCCAACTGGTGTAGCCACTTTAGAAAACAAACTGTCAGTTCCTCAAAAGGCTAAATATACAGTCATCATATAATACCACAATTTCACTCCTAGGCATATATCCCAGAGAAATAAAAATATATGTCCACACAAAAACTTGTACAGCAATCTTCACAGCACCATTATTCATAATGGCTAATACACGGAAACAACCCAAATGTCCACCAACTGATGAACAGATAAACAAAATGCAGTGTGTCTCTACCACGGAGTATTATTCAGTCATAGAAGGAATGAAATATTGATACACACTATGACATAAAGGAACTTTGAAAACACTGCTAAGAGGGAAAAAAGCCACAAAAGATCACATATTGTACAATTCTATTTGTCCAGATTAGGAAATTCTACAGCGACAAAAAATGAATCAATGGTTGCCTAAGGCTGGGGGCCAAGGCAGGTGGGGGGAGTAGGAGGTACTGGCTAAGGGGTACAGATTTCTCTATAGGGTAATGAAAGGTTCTAAAAGTGACTGTGGTGATCGATGCACAGCTCTGGGAATACTCTAAAACCTACTGAATTGCAGATTTCAATAAATAAATAAATGGAAGAGTATGTGAATCATATTTTAATAAAGCTATTATTTAAAAAATAAGTGGCTGGGCACAGGTGGTCATACCTGCCTGTAATCCCAGCACTTTGGGAGGCTGAGGCAGGAGTTTGAGTCTAGTCTGAGAAACCTAGCAAGATCCCATCTCTATGATAAAAAATAAAAAAATTAGCTGGGCATGGTGGCACACATCTGTAGTCCCAGCTACTTGGGAGACTGAGGATTGCTTAAGCCCAGGAGTCTGAGGCTGCAGTGAACCATGATCATGTCACTGTACTGCAGCCTGGGCGACAGAGCAAGACCCTGTCTCTAAAAAGGAAAGAAAAGAAATACAAGTTTTTTTGTTTTGTTTTGTTTTGTTTTGTTTTTTGAGATGGAGTCTCGCTCTGTCGCCCAGGCTGGAGTGCAGTGGACAATTTCGACTCACTGCAAGCTCCACCTCCTGGGTTCATGCCATTCTCCTGCCTCAGCCTCCCAAGCAGCTGGGACTACAAGTGCCGGCCACCATGCTCGACTAATTTTTTGTATTTTTAGTAGAGACGGGGTTTCACCGTGTTAGCCAGGATGGTCTCGATCTCCTGACCTTGTGATCCACCCGCCTTGGCCTCCCAAAGTGCTGGGATTACAGGTGTGAGCCACTGCGCCCAGCAGAAATACAAGTTTTTATCACTTTGTGAGTATAGTCAAGTTTGAGGAGAAATAGACAAGAATAAAAGAGCACTGAATAATGAGAGTAAGTGGCTGGTTAGGCCCAGTTGCTAGCTAAGTTGCTTCTGAAAAATTCATTAGTAAAGTTACAGCTCTAGGGACAGTCATGCAGTCAAAGAATGAATGCTAAATTCATTACAAATGCCGATGGTCTTTCTTTACATGCCTTCTAGTGAAAAACTCCTAAGTGCCTAAATAGCAAGTCTGCAATGATAGCAGCTGTTTATTAAAGACTACAAAAAAGAAATGGAGGCTGGGCATGGTGGCTCATGCCTGTAATCCCTGCACTTTGGGAGGCTGAGGCAGGCAGATCACCTGAGGTCAGGAGTTCAAGACCAGCCTGGCCAACATGGTGAAACCCCATCTCTACTAAAAATACAAAAATTAGATGGGTGTGGTGGCGGGCACCTTAATCTCAGCTACTCAGGAGGCTGAGGCCTGAGAATTGCTTGAACCCAGAAGGCGGAGGTTGCAGTGAGGCAAAATCGCGCCATTGCACTCCAGCCTAGGCGACAAAAGCAAGACACTGTCTTTTTATTTTTTAAAGCATCTTTTTCAAGAATGACATAGTGTTTCATGATAAAGAAGCCTTAATTTTGCATTTGTTCAAGTATTGATTCGATTTAGCAAATATGACAACAGACTTGGATAAAGTGCGAACAACACAATTTCATTTTCTCCTTAATCAAAACTGATTAGGTAGTCTAATATCAATTCTGATCTTATTAAAAACTGATAAGATAAAAAAATTAGGGAATGATGGAGCCAATAAGATGTTACAACCTGTTCCAAGGAGGATTCCAAAACCCACACATATCTGAGACCATTAAGTATGATGAAATATATTTGATTACTATATTTAAAAATAAACTGATTATATAGCCAATAACAATTGGGCAGGGGTCTCCTCATCCACAGCCACACAATGCGGCTCTGCGGTTGCAAGGCCTGCATAGCCTAGAAGGGACTGCTCTGACTTAAAATTTCACTTCATTCGTATTTGTATTTTGAGACAGGGTCCTGCTCTGTCACCCAGGCTGGAGTGCAGTGGTATAATCATAGATCACTACAGCTTTGACCAACTAGGCTCAAGAGATCATCCTGCCTCAGCTGCACCAGTACCTGGGAATACAGGCAAGTATCACCATATCAGGCTTTTAAAAAAAAATTTTTATAGAGAGAGAAGTCTTGCTATGAGCTGGCCTCAAACTCCTAGCCTCAAGAGATCTGCCCACCTCAGCCTCCTGAGTAACTGGGGCCATAGGTACACACTACCATGCCCAGCTATATTTATTTTATTTTATTAAATTTCTTTTTTCATTTTTGTAGAGAGGAGGTCTTACTATGTTGCAAGGCTGTTCTCAAACTCATGGCCTTGAAATATACGCCCATCTCTGCCTCTCAAACTGTTGGAACTATAAGTGTGAGCCACTGCACCTGGCCTGACTTGAGATTTCTTTAATCTAGCATCCTTTACTTGGTAGGATTGGGAAAGGCAGCAGTGTTTTTTAAAATTACTTAATAATTCAATTAGAACCAAACTCAACCTTGACTCCTGCCTTCTCTCACAGCTCACATCCAGTCTGTCAGGAAATCCTATTGACTGACTTCATCTTCCACCTGAATATTGCCACACTTTAGACCCCCTGCTTCTACCCAAATCTTCCCACAGTCTTTCTCAACTCAGCAGCCAGGGAGGTGCAGGAAAAAGATCAGGTTGCTTCTCTGCTGAGAACCGCCCCACCCCACCCCCAACCCCCACGGTTCCCATTTCGGTCAGAGTAAAAGCCAAAGCCCCAGCAATAGCCTCCAGTGCTTACACGATCTGTACTGATCCCAGCCCAGCAACTCCCTGGCTCCTCCCCTACTTCTCTCTCTGTATCTCTTTGCCCCTCTGGCCTCCTTCCAGAGCCTCAGACACACCAGGGAGTTTCCTCCTAATGCCTTTATCCTGTTGACTCAGCCTACAGTGCTCTTCTCTCAGCACCTTGGCCAGCTCCATCGCCTGCTTCAAACTTTTGCTCAATTTTCACTTATGAGGCCAACCCTGACCATTCTACTTAACATTGCCATCTGTCCCCATTCCCACCATGCTCCTTTCTTTCTTTTTCTTTTTCTTTCTCTTTCTCCTTCCTTTCCTTTCCTTTCCTTTCCTTCTTTCTTTCTTTTCTGACAGGGTCTTGCTCTATTGCCCAGGTTGAAGTACAGTGGTGCAATCCCAGCTCACAGCAACCTCAACCCCTTAGGCTTAAACAATCCTCCAGGCTCAGCTACCCTAGGAGCTGAGACTACAGGTGCATGCCACAACACCTGGCAAATTTTTTTTTTTTTTTTTTTTTTTTTTTGAGACAGTCTTACTCTATCGCCTAGGCTAGAGTGCAATGGCGTGATCTTGGCTCACTGCAACCTCTGCCTCCTGGATTCAAGTGATTCTCTGCCTCAGCCTCCCGAGTAGCTGGGATTACAGGTGCCCACTACCACACCCAGCTAATTTTTGTATTTTTAGTAGAGACGCGGTTTCACCATCTTTGCTAGGCTGGTCTTGAACTCCTGACCTCGTGATCCACCCCACCTTGGCCTCCCAAAGTGCTGGCATTACAGGAGTGAACCACCGCACCTGGCCTTTTCTTTAAAATTTTTGTAGACATGAGGTCTCACTATGTTGCCCAGGCTGGTCTTAAGCTCCTGGGCTTGAGCAATCTTCCCACCTCAGCCTCCCAAAGTTCTGGGATTACAGGTATGAGCAACCGCCCCTGGCTTCATGTTCATTTCTTCTTGCGCTGCAACAAACTACCCTATGTTTAGTGGCTTAAAACCCCACAAATCTACCATCTTACAGTTCTGGGGGCCAGAAGCCCAACTAGGTCTATTAAAGCTAAAGACAAGGTGTCAGAGGGGCTGCCTTTTCCAGTTTCTAGAAGCCACCCCCATTCTTTGACTCACCTTAAAGATGGCCCCTGACTCCATCTATAAAGCCAGAAGTGTGGCATCTTCAAATCTCCCTCTCTGACCTCTTTTTCCATCACCACATCTTCTTCTCTAATTCTGACTCTCCTACCTCCTTTCTCTTATAAAGATCCTTGTGATTGGTGGGCATGCTGGCTCCCACCTGTAATCCCAACACTTTGGGAGACCAAAGATGAAGGAATGCTTGAGACCAAGAGTTCAAGATCAGCCTGGGCAACACAGCAAGACCTTGTCTTTACAAAATTAAAATTAAAATCAGCTGGGCATGGTGATGCATGCCTGTAGTCCCAGCTACTGGAGAGGCTAAGGTGGGAGGATTGCTTTAGCCTAGGAGGTCAAGGCTGCAGTGAGCTATGATCACAGCACTGCACTCCAGCCCGGGTGGGAGAGTGAGACTCTGTCTCAAATATAAGAAAAGAAATATATATTTGGTTTTTGCCCCGGTTCCTGGCACAAAGTTTCTAAAGCTCTTATAAAGTCCTTAGTGATATAGGTAATAGGAGCATCTTCTGTTTTAATTTTTGGTCTTAGTCCCAGGTTCCTGACACAAGGGCCTCTAAGTTCTTTCAGATCGCAGCATGGTAAGAAAGTATGTGGGATGCTGTTGAAATGCCTGGGTGGCTGGAAGCTCCTAGACTGCTTCAGAAGGGCTGGTTGCCAGAGGAATCAACCACATTTTTTTTTTTTAAACGGAGTTTGGCTCTCGTAGCCCAGGCTGGAGTGTAATGGGACAATCTCGGTTCACTACAACCTCCACCTCCGGGCTTCAAGTGATTCTCCTGCCTCAGCCTCCTGAGTAGCTGGGATTACAGGCATGTGCCACCATGCCTAGCTAATTTTTGTATTTTTAGTAGAGATGGGATTTCTTCATGTTGGTCAGGCTGGTCTTAAACTCCTGACTTCAGGTGATCTGCCCACCTTGGCCTCCCAAAGTGCTGGGATTACAGGCATGAGCCACCGTGCCTGACCCCAACCACATTTTTTGAGGCTTGGAAATTTCAGTCTCACCCACTGAGCTCCAGGAGGCAAAAGGGGCTGGAGATTGACTTAACCACTAACGGCCAATGATTTTATCAATCATGCCTCCATAAAAACCCTAAACAACAGGATTTGGAGAGCTTCCGTGTTGCTGCACATGAGGAGGTGCTGGCAGGGTAGTGTGCCCAAGAGAGGGCATGGAAGCTCTGTGACCCTCCCCACTTGCCTTGCCCTGTGCATCTCTTTCATTGGCTGTTTCTGAGATGTAGCCTTTACATTGAACCAGTAATAGAAAATAAACTGGCCAGATGTGGTGTCTCATGCCTGTAATCCCAGCACTTTCGGAGGCAGAGGTGGGGGAATCACTTGAGCCCAAGAATTTGAGAACAGCCTGGGCAATGTAACAAGACTCTATCTATACAAAAAAATAAAATAAATTAGCCAGATGTGGTGGTGGGAAACTTGTAATTCCAGCTACTTGAGAGGCTGAAGCAGGAGAATCACTTGAGCCCTGGAGGTTGAGGTATCAATGAGCTATGATTGCACCACTGCACTCGAGCCTGGGCAATAGAGCGAGATCCTGTCTCTTAAAAAAAAAAAAAAAAAGAAAAACTGTTTTTCTAAGCTCTGTGAGTTGTTCTAGCAAATAATTCAACCTAAGAAGAAGGTCATGGGAACCCCTGATTTCTAACTGGTTGGTCAAAATACAGGTGACAACCTAGGACTTGCAACTGGCATCTGAAGTGAGGGTGGTCTCGTGGGACTGAGCTCCTAATCTGTGGGGTCTGCACTAACTCCAGGTAGTGTCAGAATGGAATTGTGGGATACGCAGTTGGTATCCAGAGAGTTGGAGAATTGGTGTAGAAGCTCTGCACACACATTTGGTCAGAAGTGTGTGAGTAGAAACATGGATTTTTCTCTCACCTGTCTACCTGCTTAACTGCATAGGAGAGACAATGCATGGTGCTCATGGAAAAAGCAAGCATTAAAGTCAAACAAGACCCAATATTTGACTCAGTCTTAATATCCAGGTGAGCTTGGGCAAATCACTTATTATCCCCAAGTCTTCATCATTTTGTGTGTAAAATGGGGATAACTGTGGCACCTACCTGTGATTTTGCGAGAACTAATGAAATACTATGCTTGATGTTATTGTGATTATTATACCTACTCCAAACTATCTGACAAGGACAGTGATGCATGATAACATCAACAGATTAGAAATTATAATGAGTTCTCTCAGGCAAAATTCCATACAAGCAAATTACCGTCTCTCCAAAGCATTCCCACCATACTTAATTCACCATTCCCTGAACAAAAATGTGCCATCTTCATTGTCCAGGTCTTTACAGTGCTGGTTTCCCTGCCTGGGCAGCTCCCTCCATCCCATCCCAGCCCATTCCCCATCCCTCCACCTCCCCCTTCCCTCTCCACTCTCATACAACTCTTCCTCATCTTTCAGGACCTGGCTTCAATGTCACCTTAACTGGAAGCTTCTCTCACCCTCCGGAAGAGCTTCCCATTGCATTTGATGCATGTACTGTTATTTGACCATTTTTGAGTAATAGTCCAAGTCTTTTTGTACCTGAATAAGATGTTGCCCAATCAGTCTCTCTTCCTGGATTCTGAAGTCTTTCATGGTAGATTCAGCTGGAAGTGACAAAAAGACATTCTTTTTTTTTTTTTTTTTTTAAAGAGGGATGACACAGACAGACATCAGTACTTAAAAGTTTTAAATCGTATGTGAAAAGCAAACAAAATTCAAGGGCTTCTAGGAAAAACGTAGGAGGGATGGTGTCACTGGGAATATGATAAAGGGTTAATTTTTAGTTTATTTTGTTTTTTGAGAAAGGGTCTTGCTCTGTCGCCTCGGCTGTACTGCAGTGGTGCAATCACAGCTCACTGCAGCCTTAACCTCCTGGGCTTGAGCAATCTTCCCATCTAATTTTTATTTTATTTAAGAAACGCAGTCTTACTCTGTTACCAAAGCTGGAGTGCAGTGGTGTGATCATAGCTTACAAATACAGCCTCAACCTCCTAGGGTCAAGAGATCTTCTAGTCTCAGCCTCCCCTGTAGCTGGGACTACAGGTGTGCACTACAATGTCAAGCTCATTTTTTTTTTTTTAATTTTTAGTAGAGACAAAGTGTCGTTATGTTGACCAGGCTGGTGGTAATCTCCTACCCTCAAGCAGTTCTCCCACCTCAGCCTTCCAGAGTGCTGCGATTTCAGGTGTGAGCTGCCACACCTGGCTGAGGGGGGGGGTTAATTTTTAATTATATAAAGAGCTCAAAGCAAATATTAGAAGGAGCCTAAATGCCTACAGCAGTTGACTTATAAATTGTGATACATCCATATAATAAAATATTATGCAACCATGAAAAGGATTTAAAGCAATAGGTATTGGCATAGATATTCACAAAATATGAAAATGTGAAGTGACGTCCAATTAGCCTATATGTATCTTGAAGAATATGGCCCATTTTCACAATAGCAATTATTTCCTGAGATAAAATTGTGGGTCTAAAGAGTAAAGGAAATTTTTCACTTCTTTATTTAAAAGTATTTACTATTTTTATAATTTAATGAGATTAAACAAATAGATCATCAAATTAGCAAAATACACATTAACTCTATAAGTAAATGGAAAAGACACAGACAGCCCAGGCATGGTGGCTCACACTTACAATACCAAGCACTTTGGGAGAGGGTGGTGGGAGGATTGTTTGAGGCCAGGAGTTCCAGACCAGCCTGGGAAACATAGCAAGACGTTGTCTCCACTAAAAATAAAAAATAAAAATAGCCAGACATGGTGGCATGTGCCTATAGTCCCAGCTACTGAGGTGGAAGGATCACTTGAGTCCAGGAGGTCAAGGCTGTGGTGAGTTGAGACTCTGCCTGGGCCACTACACTCAAGCCTGGAAGACACAGTGAGACTTAGTCTCAAAAAAAAAAAAAAAAAAAAAAAAAGACAATAAAGAAATAAAGCTAATAAGCTAACAAAAGAAAAGATATTAAAATGTGACAAACAGGATGGGCACGGTGGCTCATGCCTGTAATCCCAGCACTTTGGGAGGCTGAGGTGGGTGGATCATGAGTTCAGGAGTTCAAGACCAGCCTGATGAGTATGGTGAAACCCCGTCTCTACTAAAAATGCAAAAATTAGTCAGGCATGGTGGCAGGCACCTGTAATCCCAGCTATTCAGGAGGCTGAGGCAGGAGAATTGCTTGAACCTGGGAGGCGGAGGTTGCAGTGAGCCAAGATCATGCCACTGCACTCCAGCCTGGTGACAGAGCAAGACTCTGTCTCAAAAAAAATAAAATAAAAAGTGACAAATGAAAATAGTATGAGGTCTTTTATTTATTAAAAATAATTAAACAGAAAATAACTTGTTAAATTATAATACCCTGTGCTGGCAAAGGTGCAGTGAAATGCGCATTTTCTTATCCTATTGGTGATGTTTAAATTGTATATAAGCCTTCCAGGGTAAAGCTTAGCAATTTTTTAAAAATAATACAGACAGTGACTCACTATACTGCCTCCTCCAACTCCTGGCCTCAAGCAATCCTCCCACCTCAACCTCCCAAAGTGCTGGGATTATAGGCCGACAGCCACCATGACTGAAAGCTCAGCAATTTGCATCAAGTGTAATAAGAATGCTCATGCCCTGTGACTCACAGTAATCTCACTTCTGGAAATACCATCTTTGGATATAATTCAATCTAAACAAAAGCTCATACGCACAAACACAGTGAAAATCTCGGAGTATTTTTTTTTTCTCTTTTTAAAAAAATTGCGGAATGCTTCACAAATTTGCAATGTCATTCTTGCACAGAGGCCATGCCAATCTCTCTATTGTTCCAACTTTAGTATATGTGCTACCGAAGCAAGCATGAGTAATTTAAGATAGGGTGGTTACATGGAATAAGGAAGAGTTATGGGGAATTTAAAAAACTATGGTATTTATAGGCACCTAGTAACAGCTCAGTAAATATTAGCTGCTACTTTTATTATTATTATTATTATTATTTTTTACTTTTATTATTTTTATGGTAATTTCACTCAATTAAAAATTGTCACTAAAAATTACCATTCTGATGGAACATAATGTATCCTACAGTATAATTGTAAAAAACAGATATAATTTGTCCCTTGGTATATGGGGGAGATTGGTTCCAGCTCCTCCATTTCTGTGTATACCAAATTCCACATATACTCAAGTTTTCGAGTCAGTCCTGAGGTATCGAGATATATATATATATATATATATATATAATATATATGTGTGTGTGTGTGTAAATGTGTGTATATATATATATATGAGAAAATTAGCGAGGTGTGGTGACAAGCACTTGTAGTCCCAGCTACTTGTGAGGCTGAGTCAGGAGGATTGCTTGAGCCCAGGAGATTGAGGCTGCAGTGAGCCATAATTGCACCACTGCACTCCATTCTGGACAATAGAGTGAGACAGAAGGTTGACTGTTTAATAGAATTTTTCTGTTGACTTGAAGATATAGTCAGGACTGTGGCATATGAAAATTCTTCATAAGATAATTATCTAATCCAATTAATCCTGGAATTGGGAACAGAAAATGTTTTAGTGACTATTTATTCCTTCACTTGCTGTTATATAAACTATTGCCAGTGGGTACTTAATAACCAAAAGTGTCATCTCTGAGCTACTCACAATGAAAGGTGATGTCTGGGGCCCAGGTGTATTGAGGTCCCCATGTCTGGGTTATGGGTGCTGTGTGGGACTTACTTGTCCATCCATTTTCTGTATTCTGGCACTGGGAAACTTGGGTTTATCCATCTTGATAAAAGGTCACTTAAATTCCACTTGGCAAGAACCACAAATGGAAGAAAGGCCATGAAATCACAGGCTAGCCCTTGTTCTCAAGGTAATATTCAGCTTAGCTGGTTCTGTAAAAGAGGAATCACATTGTTGAAAAATCACTGCAGGTCAGCTGAGGTGGTCCATACCTATAATCCCAGCCCATCAGAAGACTAAGGCAGGAGGATCCTGTGAGGCCAGGAGTTCAAGACCAGCCTGGGCAACACAGTGAAATCTCTACAAAAAATTAGAAAATGAGCTGGGTGCGGTGGCACTTTCCTATAGTCCCAGCTACTCTGGAGGCCGAAGTGGGAGGATGAAAGTGGAAGCTGCAGAAGTGGAAGCTGCAGTGAGCTCTGATCTCACCGTTGCACTCCAGCCTGGGTGACAGAGTGAGACCCTGTCTCAACATATACATACATACATACACACACACACACACACACGCATGCACACAGCCACATGCAGACACACACACACACACCCTCATCTCAGTCTGTCCAGACTTTAGACTAAAGAAAAGGGTCTTCTGGTTACAGAAGAGGTATGCTCTTTTGTGGGACAGGGAGGGACCAGCAACTTTGTTCACGGTCTTTTCCTCATCCTCTGCTTAGTTTTCCAAGAACCCGCACAGTGGAAACAGTGTCTGGGAAAGGACCAAAATCTTTAGACTACCAGGGGAGAAATACACCTCCTTTGTCAATTAATAAATAGAACACCTGCCTTAAAAGCCAGGGAGTTCTGCTAGAATGAATCACTCCCTACGACCCTGACCTATGCAGGGAACATGAAAAACTGGAGTTTGGCTGGGCACAGTGGCTCACACCTGTAATTCTAGCACTTTGGGAGGCCGAGGCGGCGGACCACCTGAGGTCAGGAGTTCGAGACAAGCCTGGCCAACATGGTGAAACCCTATCTCTACTAAAAATACAAAAATTAGCCGGGTGTGGTAGTGGATGTGTGTAATCCCAGCTACTTAGGAGGCAGAGGCAGGAAAATCACTTGAACCCAGGAGGCAGAGGTTGCAGTGAGCCGAGATCGCACCACTGCACTCCAGCATAGGTGACAGAGCAAGACTCTGTCTTAAAACAAAAAACAAAAAAACAAAAAGCGACTGGAGTTTGGAGTCCTGTAATATTTTAAGCCACATTCCAGATTGTAGAGACCTTACCAAAGTACGGCCTTTCCACAAAGCACTGCCGAACACCAGCTGGCTGTCTCCATGGGGCACCGCCATATCTCTGGCTCTTGTTTCCCCAGGAGATGCTCTATTCTAGCCTTCTCTTACATTTTGTATTCCACACATTTCCTAGCGTAAGGCCTCAAAACATAGCAGGCTGCAGAGTCACTGCTGATCTACTGCATATCCGACTTCAGATTCCAGCAGGGCACTTTGTGTTTGAGAAATTAAAGAGGACAAGAATGGACCCAGACTGACACTGGTCAGCTTAGCGGTCCAAAGATATAAGCTGCTCAAATGGACTACAGTGCCTCTGATTTTCTGAGTCTGCCCTGCTCCTAGGGCTCTTTGGATGCAATTAATTTATCCTTGTTGAAGAAATGGTTTGCTAGAATATAAAAAAATTGGTCAGGCACGGTGGCTCACGCTTCTAATCCCAGCACTTTGGGGGGCCGAGGCAGGTTGGGTAACGAGGTCAGGAGTTCAAGACCAGCCTGGCCAACATGGAGAAACCCTGTCTCTACTAAAAATACAAAAATGAGCCTGGTGTGGAGGCACGGGCCCGTAGTCCCGGCTACTCAGGAGGCTGAGGCAGGAGAATTGCTTGAACCTGGGAGGTGGAGGTTGCAGTGAGCCGAGACGGCGCCACTGTACTCCAGCCTGGGTGACAGAGCAAAACTCCATCTCAAAAAAAAGAAAAAGAAAAGAGAATATAAAAAATTTAAAGAAGAAAAAACGTTAAAATTTTCTCCTAAAGAGCACTCAAAAGCACACTCCCACCAATGCTGGATCTATTTAGCTCTCTCTTGCTTTATTTTTCTGAGATAGGGTCTCACTCTATCACCCAGGCTGGAATGCAGTGGCAAGATCACGGCTCACTGCAGCTTTCAATTCCTGGACTCAAGCTATCCTCCCACTTCAGCCTCCTGAACAGCTGGGATTATAGGTGCATGCCACCATGCCCGGCTAATTTTTAAATTTTTTTAGAGAGGAGGTTCTCACTATGTGGCCCAGGCTGCTCTTGAACTCCTGGGTTAAACTAATCCTCCCACCTTGGCCTCCCAAAATGCTGGGATTATAGGTTTTAGCCACTGTGCCCAGTCTATTTATCTTTCTATGACTCATATATTAAATCTTCCTCCTTAAATTGCCTCCTACCCACCCATCTGCAGGGATAGCAAACACAGGTCTCAGTGAGTCAGGCAACCTACAAGAGGGAAGGAGGCCCGAGTAACGTGGGAGACCGGGGGAAACTGTAGCAAACTGCAAGGTACTCAATTCAACAGTTCTTCAACACTGTGATGGTCAAACCAAACACAGAAACAGGAAGTACAGTTCAGTCACCAGCAGGCAATGTGGGATATTTCATCTACATGCTATAGGGCAAACTGCTTAGGATGAATGACCTAGTCTCCACCAACCTGCTCTTCAAGTCCAGCCGCTTCTGCCCAAGTCCCTATACTCTACTGACAGGACCCACATTCACAGGTCTCCTGACACCTTTTCTTGTTCACTTTTTTTTCCCCCAACAAATAATGCTGCTTTTTTTTTTTTTATTTTTATTTTTTACTTCTTTTGAGACAGAGTCCCCCTCTGTCACACAGGCTGAAGTACAGTGGGGTGATTATGGCTCACTGCAGCTTCCATCTTCTGGGCTCAAGTGATCTTCCCACCTCAGCCTCCCAAGCAGTTGGGATTACAGGCATGTACCACCACACCCGGCTAAGTATATTATTTTTTCTTCTTTTTTCTTTCTTCTCTTTCTTTTTTTTTTTTTTTTTGTTGAGATGAAGTCTCACCTTGTCACCCAGGCTGGAGTGCAGTGGGGTGATCTGGCTTACTGCAACCTTCAAACTCCCAGGTTCAAGCAATTCTCCTGCCTCAGCCTCCCAGGTAACTGGGATTACAGGTGTGTGCCACCATGCCTGGCTAATTTTTGTATTTTTAGTAGAGACGGGGTTTCACCATGTTGGCCAGGCTGGTCTTGAGCTCCTGACCTCAGGTAATCTGCCCACTTCAGTCTCCCAAAGTGCTGGGATTACAGGCATGAGTCACTGCTCCCAACCAGTGTATTATTTTTTTCTAGGGACAGGGTCTCACTATGTTGCCCAGGTTGGTCTTCAACTCCTGGGTACAAGCAATCCCCTGGCCCCCTCCTCCCAAAGTGCTGGAATTATAGGCTTGGGCCAACACATCAGGCTCTAACAAATATTTCTTGAGCACCTACTGCATACCAGGCACTATAATAGGTGCCCAGGAAACAGCAGTGAACAAGGTATAAGAGTTTCTGCTCTCTACAGAGCTTATAGGGTAGCAGGAAATTGATAGAGTATGAATGTTTGTCTCCTCCAAATCTCATATTGAAAATAAATCCCTAATGTTGGAGGTGGTGCCTGGTGGGAGGTGTGTGGGTCATGGGGGCAGATCCCTCATGAATGGCTTGGTGCCCTCCCCATGGTAATGAGTGAGTTCTCTCTCTACTAGTTCATGTGACAGCCGATTGTTTAAAGAGCCTGGCACCTCCTCCCCTCTCCCTTGCTCCATCTTCTCACCAAGTGATGTGCCAGCTCTTCCTTCACCTTCTACCAGGAGTGGAAGACTCCTGAGGTCCTCACCAGCAGATGCTGGAACTATGCTTTTTTTTTCTGAGACAGGATCTCACTCTGACACTCAGGCTAGAGAGCAGCGGTGTAATTACGGCTCACTGCAACCCTGACCTCCTGGGCTAAAGAGATCTTTTCACCTTGGCCTCCCAAGTAGCTGGGACCACAGGCATGCATCAGTGCACCATCATACCTGGATGATTTGCTTTTTATTTTTAGTAGAGACAACGTCTCACCATGTTTCCCAGGCTGGTTTCAAACTTCTGGGCTCAAGCAATCCTCCTGCCTCAGTGTCCCAAAGTGCTGGGATTACAGGTGCGGGCCACTGTGCCCAGCCTGGCACCATGCTACTTCTATAGTCTGCAGAACTGTGAGCCAAATAAACTGTTTCTCTTTATAAACTACCCAGCCTCAGGTGTTTCCTTATAGCAATGCAAAATGGACTAATATAGGAATCATATGCCAGCACTTACCAGACTGTGATGAGCACATGACAGAAGTACAGAGTGGGACTGAAACGTTCCCCAGGGGCTTCTTGTTGCATCATAGAGGATGGGGTGAGACATCTCGGTTGAGGCTAAAGATGAGTAAAGATGAGAGTGAAAGAGTGATAACGGGGGTAGGGAGAGGGTTTCCTGAAGAAGGACCAGTAAAGTTCCCCAAGGAAACTGTGAGGTCACTTCCTGGAAATCACCAGTATACCATATCCCATTGGCAAGGAGCTTAGCACGGTCTCTTGGATAACCAAACCTATGCCCAAATACCATCTATGTGAGTCTATCTCCCAGGACCCTTCTTAGCATATTAGAGTTCAATCAGGAGACATAAACCACTCAAAAGTTTAAAGTGGTAAAATTTAATACAGAGAATTATCATTATAATAGGGCAAAGCATAATAAGAGATTGGCTACCAAAAAGTAAAAAGAACTCTAGAGAATATAGGACTTTCAGAGGCCAGGCATGGTGGCTCATGCTTATAATTCCAGCAATATGAAAAGCCAAGGCAGGAGGATGCTTCAGGCCAGGAGTTTGAGACTAGCCTGGGAAACACAGCGAGACCCTGTCTCTACCAAAGAAAAAAAAAATAGCCAGGTGTGGTGGTGCACACCTGTAGTCCTAGCTACTTGGGAGGCTGCAGTGGGAGGATTGCTTGAGCCAGGGAGGTCATGGCTGCAGTAAGCCCTGAAGTCATGGCTGCAGTGAGCCATGATTTTGTCACTGCACTTTAGCCTGGGCAACAGAGGGAGAACCTGTCTCAAAAAAAAAAAAAAAAAAAGTATAGGACCAGCTGATACAATGAGCAATAACTGCCCCTACTGTCCCTACACTGAGATAGAGTGACCAAGGAGATAGACTCCTCACTAGGGCTGAGATCCAGCCACCCTTGGAGAGGGCACAGTCATGGGTAATTCAATGGCAGAATTGCTGCATTACCACATGGTGGAAGATGCTAGCAATCTGCCCTCTGGAATTTGCTGAAAATCCGCCCTCTATGATGCTAGATTAAGATATTAATGAACAGTTGTCTCACTACAAAACCACCCAGGCAGGGGCAGAGAAACTGCTGGTCACTGGGTGCTGCTGAGCACCATGCAGGGCAGGAGCCCAGTGCTGCAGACGCTCAGTGCCTGTGGAGATTGATACACCACAATCAGAAAGAACAGCCTCTTACAAAGTCCCTCTAGCACAACGTACTGACAACATTTAATAATGCACCAGCTGACAGAGGAAGCATATAAGGAACCCATGTCTATGTTTGCAGAGCAGGCAGTGAAGGGTGAATTTGGAACTGGTGGGCAGTCATTGGATGGATAGTTGGTACATGACACATTTCAATCTACCAAAGAAAAAAGGAAGAGAGAAAAGAGATACAGGAGACCAGGCATGGTGGCTCACTCCTATAATCCCAGCAGTTTGGGAGGCCAAGGCAAGTGGATCACTTGGGTCTAGGAGTTCGAAACCAGCCTGGGTGACGTAGTGAAACCTTGTCTCTACTAAAAATAAAAAAGTTAGCTGAGTGTGGTGGCTTGTGACTGTAGTCTCAACTGCTCAAGAGGCTGAGGCAAAAGGACTGCAAGTGTCTGAGAGTTCGAGGCTGCGGTGAGCTGTGATCACACCACTGCATTCCTGCCTGGGTGGCACAGCAAGATCCTGTCTCAAAAAAAGAAATGTTGGTGAAAATGTGAAGAAATTGGAACCCACATACATTATTGGTGGGAACATAAAATGGTTTAACCACTTTGTTTGGGTATTTCTTTCTTGTCATTTTAATTTGATTTTTAAAAAATCAAGATAGGATCCCACTATCTTGCCCAGGCTGGTCTCTTTTAACTTGTAGGCTCAAGTGATCCTCCCACCTCAACCTCTCATGTAGCTGGGATTACAGGTGTGAGTCACTGCACCTGACTGGTGTAACCACTTTGGAAAACAGTTTCTCAAAAGGCTAAATGTACAGTGTTATAGAATGCAACAATTTCTCTCCTAGGTATATATCCCAGAGAAATAAAAATATATGTCCACACAAAAACTTGTACATGAATCTTCATAGCAGCATTATTCATAGTGGCCAATACATGGAAACAACCCAAATGTTCATCAGCTGATGAATAAACAAAATGTGGTGTGTCTCTACCATGGAATATTATTCAACCATAGAAGGAATGAAATATTGACACATGCTATGACAGGAAGGAACTCTGAAAACATTGTGCTAAGAGGGAAAAAAAAGCCAGCCACAAACGATCACATATTGCACAATCCTATTTATATAGAAGGTCCAAGTCGGGTGTGGTGGCTCACGCCTCTAATCCCAACACTTTGGGAGGCTGAGGAAGGCAGATCATGAGGTCAGGAGTTTGAGACCAGCCTGACCAACATGGTGAAAGCCCATTTCTACTAAAACTACAATAATTAGCCAGACATGGTGGTGGGCGCCCATAATCCCAGCTACTCAGGAGACTGAGGCAGAAGAACTGCTTGAACCCAGGAGGCAGAGATTGCAGTGAGTTGAGATCGCACCACTGCACTCCAGCCTAGGTGACAGAGCAAGACTCCGTCTCAAAAAAAAAGAAAAAAAAAATTCCAGATTAGGCAACTCTATAATGACAGAAAATAGATCAGTGGTTGCCTATGGGAACACAGGGGCATGGGGGGAGGAGAATATAGTGGCTAAGAAGTGTGGATTTCTCTACAGGGTAATGAAAGCTTCTAAAATGGATTGTGATGATAGATGCACAGCTTCGTGAATATTCTAAAAACCACTGAATTGCATACTTTGATAAATGAATTACATGGTATGTGAACTACATTTCAATAAAGTTGTTATTTAAAAAAAGGAAATAGGGGGCTGAGCACAGGTGGCTCATGCCTGCCTATAATCCCAGGAATTTGGGAGGCTGAGACAGGAGGATCACTTGAGGCTAAGAGTTTGAGACCATCCTGGGAAAGATAGCACTATCCCATCTCTACAACAAAAAATAAAAAATTTAGCTTTGCATGGTGGTGTACGTCTGTAGTCCTAGCTACTTGGGAGGCGGAGGCGGGAGTATTGCTTGAGTCCAGGAGTCTGAAGCTACAGTAAGCCATGATCACACTACTGCATTGTAGGCTGAGTGACAGAGCAAGACCCTGTCTCTAAAAAGGAAAGAAAAGAAATGCAAGTTTTTATCACTTTGTGAGAGTAACCAAGTTTGAGGGGAAACAGGTAAGAACAAAAGAGCACTGAATGGTGAGAGTGGGAGGCTGGTTAGGCTCATTGCTAGCTAAGGGACTTCTGAAAAATTCATTAGTAAAATCACAGCTCTGGGGGTCAGTCAGGCAGTCAAATGATGAATGTTAAATCCATTACAAATGCCCATCGTCTTTCTTTACACTCCTTCTAGTGAAAAATTCCTAAATGCCTAAATAGCAAGTGTTCTGAAATGACATCTCAAATTTTAAAAGAAATAACATCTCAAATTTTAAAAATCATGAGTCAAATATGATTTTCCTCCTCCCATTTTACAGGTGTGCAACCTGAAAACAGAGAATTTAAGTAACTTTCCTAAGTGGCAGAGCACAGATTTAAATCCTATCACTCTGGCCTCAGAGTTTGTGCTTTATTTTCTTTTATTATTTTAAAATTCATCATTTTTAAAACCAAGAGGCTTATGCAAAATTCTGCTAGGATTCAAAAAAAGCCTCTTGCTTTTCCTGACCATGGGTGCAGGCAGGGCTCATGCTGCATTTTCTTTACTTATAATTGGATAGAGACATGACGGATGGAGACATGATGACAGGATCTCTCCTGGTCATCGTGCACCAGAAAGGAGAGTGGAGAGAAGCACAGGGAAGCCAGTCTTACCATGTTTGAGCAACTGAACCAATGTCAGCCTCAGCCTACCTGCACAATTACTTTTATGTGAGAAAAACAGGCATCTCCCTATTTGGAAAATCACAGCTGGCTGCAGTAGCAAACAATCCTCAAGTTATTCCTGGTAACGTTATTTCTACAGTCCCAGTCATTTTAACTCATTACATTAGCTCTTCATTTCTCTATTGTTCCTAACATCTAGTTCATAACCAAGAGTTTATGTTATTAAATAAGCTTTGGGTTAACAGGATCAATGAAGGAAGAGTTTAAAGATACCAAAAAAAGCTCATAGAAGTACCTGCCAAATGTGCCAACTGACTACTATGAACTAATTTACTTTTGAGAAACATGCTGTTTCTTATATGCTACTGACAGTGCCTGTAAAAATGGTGCACATTAACTGGCTGTTTTATTTTCTCCCCAATCTTAATATCTAATATCCACAGACCAAGATCAGAGCACCAGCATATACAATGCCACTTTATACTAGAGTTAGGAGGGGGGGCCAAGAGTAGAAATCAGAGTCACTTTGCTAGCTGCTGTCCTCTGTCCAGAATATTTTAAAGGAGACTGTATTCCCCCAGGGCTCACTGACCTGGCACTCTCTCCTTGCGGAGGCTCACACCACTGTCTTGTGCAGCCCTCACTGCTTTTGCAGAATGTGTCACCACGCTATAAAACACCTTCTCCTCCACCTTTCAACCTAAGCATGTGTTACTGGGTTTCGGGACAGCTTGTCTTCTCACCGTCCCACCTTTCCTTCTGACCGTCTTGGTCTTTGTGGGGGCCTCTCATCTCACCATCCTGGTGAAGCTTTGGGGTCATTACTTCTTCAGTTGCTTCCCTCACCAATATATCAAATGAAGACAGTATGGACTAATTGCTTTTAGAGTACAACTACTGTGGCCCTAGAACCAGCTGGTCCCAGGACTTCTTCTGACTCTAAAGTTTTTGAGATACCAGATATAGTTGGAATAAGATATACGACCATGCTCCCTAGAAGGTGAGATTATCATCATTTCCTGGACCTTTTAATCTGCACCTTTGTTCATGCTATTCCTTCTAACAGGAGTAGCTTTGTCTCTGCCTGATGACATTCTCCTCTTCCATCAAGGCCTAACTTAAATGTAATTTTCTTCATAAAGTTCCTGTCACCTTGGAATTAACCCCCCTTTTACATAGTGTCATTGTTCACCTTATTCAAATCTTCATAAATTGAGGCTCAGATCTGTGTGGTCACGGAGTGTGTCTTTTTACCAAAAGGAACACCTCGGCCAGGCACGGTGGCTCATGCCTGTAATCCCAGCACTTTGGGAGGCCAAGGCAGGCAGATCACCTGAGGTCAGGAATTCGAGACCAGCCTGACCAACATGGAGAAATCCTGTCTCTACCAAAAATACAAAATTAGCTGGGTGTGGTGGCAGGCACCTGTAATCCTAGCTACTTGGGAGGCTGAGGCAAAAGAATCGCTTGAACCCAGGAGGCAGAGGTTGCTGTGAGCCAAGATAGTGCCACTGCACTCCACTCTGGACAAGAGTGAAACTCTGTCTCAAATAAATAAATAAATAAATAAATAAATAAATAAATAAAACACCTCATGCACTTTACAAGGAGCTTCTTCAGGAAAGGATGACACCTCGTGTAGAGGAGAGATCTCTGATACTCTGATCTTTTCCAAAAGGAGGAAAGTAAAGGTTGGAATATATTTTTAGTTCTTTGCATTTCTGAACAGAAATAGTCTATTACTAAGTTGCTCAAAGATGCCTATAAGCTTTCATAGGAGAAACATCTAATTCACAACCAAGACTTTATGTTATTAAGTAAGCTTTCCTTTAACAGGATCAATGAATGAAGAGTTTAAATACTCGCTGTAGTCCCCATTTAGTCATCTGGTATACTCTGTGTGAGGTATACTCTCAGTCATCTGGTATCCTCTCTCTGAGTATGCTAGATGATTAAATGGAAATTACTGCACCACTAAACACCAGTACTGCAACTCTTACTTAAAAATTCAACACTTAGGACATAAAGAATGATCCTAGGCCAGGCTCGGTGACTCAAGCCTGTAATCCTAGCACTTTGGGAGGCTGAGGTGGGCAGATTGCCTGAGCTCAGGAGTTTGAGACCAGCTTGGGCAACATGGTGAAACCCATCTCTACCAAAATACAAAAAATTAGCTGGGCATGGTGGCGTGCACCTGTAGTCCCATCCACTTGGGAGGCTGAGGCAGGAGAATTGCTTGAACCTGGGAGGCGGAGGTTGCAGTAAGCCGAGATCGCACTACTGCACTCCAGCCTGGGTGACAGAGTGAAGCTGTCTCAAAAAAAAAAAAAAAAAAAAAAAAAAAAAAAAAAAAAAAAGATCCTAATGCAGTTACTTCCTTTTAAATTTATGAGGAGATGGAAGAAATACCCATATTTGATGGTTGGTTGGGAACTGTCTTTGGTATTGTATGAAGTATTTTAATACTGTGAACATGAAAATATGAGAACCCTGCAGACCCCGTGGGCACAGACAGAAGGAAGTACATTGGAGGGTGTTGCAGGAAATACTTTCATTCCAAGCACTGCTGTTTAAAAACAAAGAGGACAAAAGATGAAGAAACATTCCACGTGACCCTCTGCACCCTTATTTGTTGCAATAAAGGAAAAGCATTTTAGGAATTTTTTTGAGTCCAGTTTACGATGTGATCCATGTTAGTTATTTTCTGTTAATGATTTTCAAAATCTCAGTTAAAAACATTCAGAAGTTTAGCTTTATCACAGGCAGCTGTTCACATGTAAAACTAGTTTGGTTACCTTCATCTGTATAAACATGTGGCTAGTGAACTGACATAACTATTAAACTGGAGAATCAACAGAAACATGCCAAGGACTGACCCTTACCTTCCACAGTGACCTCAATGTCAGAAAGCTTTTCATTACTCTCAGGGCTTCATGGTCTTTTCAGAAACTGCGAAGCTGTAAAATAAGCACAGAATTACTTTAGTATATTGTAGGAAAAAATACAGAAGGAGATGCTTTATAAGAGCAGAGTATTAAAATTTATTCAGTTTGGCTCTTTTCAAAGGAAACTACAGAATTAAACTTGTAGTGTAATCCTCCACAGGGAGCTCAACAAAGCCATGGAAACATGAATGAAGTGGGATTACAAATGTGACACTTCCAATAAATTTTTTTTTAAAAAAGGAAAGAAAAAGAAGTCCATTAAATAAAATACCTTAAAAAGCCAAGAAACTAACTGCAAGTCCCCCAAAGAGAGTGGTCAATGATTCCGTGTGATTTAAGGAATGCTGAGAAAGAATGTCTTAATGCAGTGAAATATAATACGCAATACAGGTAATCTCTTACCTTTAGTGTTTATTAGCCATTCCAGGAGGCAAGTAGGAAATAACTAGTTCAGGTCTAGAAAGAAAACCAAGAAATGTCATGGTAGCCAGTACAATGGTGGCCTCACAGCTAGTAAAACAGTCATGATATGACCAGTGTTTTTCCCTAACGGCGTTCGCAGAGTCATCCTGTAATGTAACAATAATTCCTATCACTGTGGACAAAAACCCTGACTTTTCCTTCCCATGACTGGCAAGTAATTATATGAAGAACAAATTACTTCTTTCATGAAAAAGAAAATTAACACTAGTGTACTTCTTCAGCCACTAAAATTCTACAGAAATGTAGATATAATAAGAAACTCAATCATCACATCAGGCCAGGTGCGGTGTCTCACAGCTGTAATCCCAGCACTTTGGGAGGCCGAGGCGGGTGGGTCATCCGAGGTCAGGAGTTCGAGACCAGCCTGACCAACTTGGTGAAACCTTGTCTCTACTAAAAACAGAAAAATTACCCGTCTCTACTAAAACACAAAAATTAACCAGGCATGGTGGTGCATGCCTGTAATCCCAGCTACTTGGGAGGCTAAGGCAAGATAATCGCTTGAACCCAGGAGGCAAAGTTTGCAGTGAGTTGAGATCACGCCATTGCACACCAGCCTGGGCAACAAGAATGAAACTCTGTCTCAAAAAAACAAAAAAGAAAAGAAAAGAAACTCAATCATCAATATTTAGTTGCTCACAAGATTGACCCAGGAATAACAGAGCAGATAAAACCCAGCAAATTAAACTTCATTCAAGTACTTAGGCATACTGTGGACCACCGCAGTGCCTCTGAACACCATGAAGGCAGTGGTCACTAATCTTGCACTGATGAAGACAGCTGAGTACAGGATGGGGGACTGCAGGGGCAATGGACAGTGCCAGCACTGCAGCTCAGAGCCAGGCTTTTCCATCAAGGACTTACAGCCACGCCTGTCACCTCTAGCTAGAAAAACATTTTAGTAGAAATGTCAGTTGATTATTTTAATTCCAGAAATGACTACAGTGGCAAATAGAACCTACTTTTTTATTATTGTTGTTGTTGAGGCAGAGTCTCACTCCAGACTTAAGAGTCTGGAGTACAGTGCTGTGATCTCAGCTCACCGCAGCCTCTGCCTCCCAGCTTCAAGCGATTCTCCTGCTTCAGCCTCCCAAGTAGCTGCGATTACAGGCACCAGCCACCATGCCTGGTTTATTTTTTGCATTTTTAGTAGAGATGTTGGCCAGGCTGGTCTCAAACTCCTGACCTCAGGTGATTCGCCTGGCTTGGCCTCCCAAAGTGCTGGGATTACAGGCATGAGCCACCATACCCGGCCTGGAACTTACTTTTTTAACAACAAACTTGATTTTATTACCTCCATGGACGATCCTTTCAAGTCATGGAATTCCAAACCAAGAGGGCTTTGAAAGGAAATCCTGTCTGGCAAGGCTTCTACATACAGGAACTCGGGGTTTGATTCAAACACAGGATATGGTACTTTTACTGCCTCAGTGAGTCCAAGAGCTTCAACTGAAAGTGCAAGAGAAAATAATTTGTAGAAGATAAAATTTGACACAGACATTCTTTTATTTGTATCTGCATTCTCAAATACATTATGAACAAGTTCCCTACAATCGAGCAATATTCACTTCATATTGAAGGCATTTTGCTTAGGATATTGGGCAAATCTGAAGAACAAGCCTAAAAGTACTTTTAGGAGGAACATTTTAACACTTTCTTTTTTTTTCTTTTTTTTTTTCTTTGAGATGGAATCTTGCTGTCTTGCCCAGGCTAGAGTGCAGTGGTGCAATCTCAGCTCACTGCAATCTCCATCTCCCCAGTTCAAGCGATTCTCCTGCCTCAGCCTCCCAAGTAGCTGGGACTACAGTCACAGGTCACCACACCCAGTATTTTTAGTAGAGATGGGGTTTCACCATGTTAGCCAGGATGGTCTCGATCTCCTGACCTCAAGTGATCCACCCACCTCAGCCTTCCAAAGTGCTGGGATTACAGGCATGAGCCATCATTCCCAGCCCATTTTAATACTTTCAATCAAAACGAGAGTTATGTTATTAGTCAAAGTGACCTCTGTGTTCTAAGCAGAAATGACCAAAGTCCATACCATACAGCTGTGGCCCCTGGCAGCCTTTGCATTCTCAAGAGGCAGGGTAGCTGTTCAAAGACAGGTGGTGTCTATGATGCAACTAAGTAGTACTCACTAAGTTCAAGTGATCAGACGCAGAATAGTCAGTATTCCTGATAAGGGACAGGAAACGTCAGCACCAGGTATTGAGACAATGGACAGGAATGCCCCGGGAATGCTATGCGTGCTCCCCACTCCTTACTTCCTTCTCCATGACAGACACACCCAACCAACTGAAACACACTTTCTTGCTGAGTCTGTTCAGAATCGTTCAAGACAGCACTCCAGGAAACCGCTGTCAACAAATCTAAGAATTTTTCACACGTGTGTTAGCCAGATTAGAAGTACAGACAGTGGAATGACACTTATCCCAGCGCCTCCCTTCCTCTCCCGTTCTGACACATGAGAAAGCTGAATCCAAGAGAAATGAAGTTGTCTGCTTGATTTCAATAGCAAGTGTAGTAGCAGAAATAAACCAAAGTCCAGTTGCTGGGACCTTCCTTTTTTAGGTCCTAAACTTCTATAATTCATTCAGACACAACCCTTCATTGATATGTTAGGTTAAAGACCGACAGTAGGGGAAGGACTATGGGTCCCTTCATGTTCATATGAAAGGGCGAGACTCTTATCTCCAAAAAATAAAAAATACAAAAATATTTCAATTAAAAAAAAAGTGTGACGGTTTTTGGCAATGTTTAAATAGAAAATAAGAGTATCCCTTTCAAATAAGCTGACACTTTCTGAACGTGTAATAACCAGGGTCACAGAATCACAGAGGCCAGTGAGAAGATTAAAAAGTACCCCTGTGAGCCCCAGTGACACAAACACCGCCAGGAACATTTCCTGTTCCTGTCCCTCCAACTCATCCACAGCAACATAATGTCGGCAAGTGGCACGATCTGCCTCCCCTACCTCCAGGCAGCCACAGGGAAAGTAGAGAGCAAAGGGACCATTCCCTGTGTCACTGATTAGTGAGGCTCAATGGGAAACACGAAGCATGAGGGGCACCCAAAGGTAGGTGACAAGTTCAGTGTCTCCCCTTTGTCTTCCTGCTTCATGTATTATCTGCATCTTCTGCTCTTTTCATGATAAGGAAGGAAGCAGCAATAGCGTGTCTCCTGTGGAAATGTGGGACTACTCATCGGGCATCATGGAACTTAATGTAGAAGTTTATACAGCCCTGGGAAGCTTTCAGAACCTGGTCTCCTAAGGCTCCTGGTTTTCTAAGGCTCTTGACCAGGCTGTAGACGGTGAACCCCCAGGAATTCACACAGGTTTTCTAGGGTCTTCACACTGCTAAGCGCAGTAATGGCAACTCCTTCATTTCCTTTTTAAACAATTGTTTTCCCAATTATCCCTTTAAAATTGGGCAGTTCAGGCTGGGCATGGTGGCTCACACCTATAATCCCAGCACCTTGGGAGGCTGAGGCGGGCAGATCACTTGAGGTCAGGAGTTTGAGACCAGCCTGGATGACAATGTAAAACCTACTAAAAAATACAAAAATTAGTGGGGTGGTGGATACCTGTAATCCCAGCTGCTCGGGAGGTTGAGGCATGAGAATCTCTTGAACCCAGGAGGCAGAGGTTGCAGTGAGCAGAGATTGTACCACTGTACTCCAGCCTGGGCGATAGAGCAAAACTCCATCTAAAAAAAAAAAAAAAAAAATTGGGCAGTTTAGAGCCTCTGATGTAGCAAGTGTGCACAATTATTTGTGGTAATGAGCTATTGAACATCATTAACGAGGCTATGGTGGTTTTTTAAAATTGTGATTGGCCAGGTGAGGTGGCCCACGCCTGTAATCCCAGCACTTTGGGAGACTGAGGCAGATGGATCACCTGAGGTCGAGAGTTCGAGACCAGTCTGACCAACATGGAGAAACCCTGTCTCTAGTAAAAATACAAAATTAGCTGGGTGTGGTGGCGCATGCCTCTAATCCCAGCTACTTAGGAGGCTAAGGCAGGAGAATCACTTGAACCCAGAAGGCAGAGGTTGTGGTGAGCCAAGATCGCACCACTGCACTCCAGCCTAAGCAACAAGAGCGAAACTCCATCTCAAAAAAAAAAAAAAAAAAGAAATGAAAAGAAAAATCAATACCCAGCAGACTGTCAAGCATGCATAATGTGATCAGGTACCAAGGAATGTCCATAAGGATAGAACTGCAGTCAAGTCTCCTGAATTTCCTTCCTTGGGCCCCTTCCCTGGGCCCACCCCCTACCCATATAACCACATCCTCACTCTTCTTCCCTAAACACAAATTGAGGGACACTCAAAGCAAGCATAGTACTCACTTCTTAACTGATCCATCCCCTCCTCCATCTCCAACACATGGGAGTACTTATGTTAGCCTTGTAAATAAGAAACACTTAACATCCTAGTTATTTTTCTAGTCTGCCTTTTTTTAACCACTCACCTGGCAGAAACTTATTCTCCTGGTCAGTAGCTATTTGTAAAACTGGTCTGCCTCCCTATTTTCGCACCAAAGATACTAATTCTTTAGTAGAAAGGGGAGTATTCTAAATCAGACAATTAGCAAATCACCTAGAATTCCCACCCTTTCCACAGAGGCACACAAACAAGAGAATTAACCCTATTTGTCTATAATAAACAGGATGTTCTACCCACCACTGAGCCCCAGAGCTTGTTACTAGATGACTAATCCCCACCAGTAATGGCTACAATGGCCCAGTTCCCTATTTTATTACTGTGTGCAGAAATTTGAAAGGCACTCCTCTCCCACCCCCATCTTCCTTTACATACTTTTGCATATCAATCCATTAAGAATCTGAGTGTAATTTATCTTATTCGCTCTTATCCTGTTAAATTGCTCTACAGCTGCCATGGAAGTAATTACAGTGATCAGTGATTCAGACTTCTTGAGCAAAGGGCCTTAAGTAGGTTTCATTATTAAACCTTCCAAAGGTTTTATTATTGAAATAAACCCGAGATAGAGCAGTATGCCTCCATAGGGCAGTCATACTAATGATTCTTTTTTTGTTGTTGTTGTTGAGACAGAGTCTTGCTTTGTCGCCCAGACTGGAGTGCAGTGGCCAGATCTCAGCTCAGTGCAAGCTCCGCCTCCCGGGTTCACGCCATTCTCCTGCCTCAGTCTCCCGAGTAGCTGGGACTATAGACGCCCGCCACCTCGCCCGGCTAGGTTTTTGTATTTTTTTTTAGTAGAGACGGGGTTTCACCGTGTTAGCCAGGATGGTCTCGATCTCCTGACCTTGTGATCCGCCCGTCTCGGCCTCCCAAAGTGCTGGGATTACAGGCTTGAGCCACCGTGCCCGGCCTATGATTCTTAAGTTACGAGGGATGTCAGACTCATCATCAATGTTGTGCTTGTGAGTACAAGTAACTGGGAATTTATCAACCAATAAAACCAACTGGCATTCTAAGAATGAAGAATAATTATCTCATTTTAAGTAGCATATGCAGTGCTGTGCAACCCTTTAAAAAGCTGCCTTTGGCCAGGTGTGGTGGCTCACACCTGTAATCCCAGCACTTTGGGAGCCCAAGGCAGGCGGATCACCTGAGGTCAGGAGATGGAGACCATTCTGATTAACATGGCGAAACTCCGTTTCTACTAAAAATACAAAAAAATTAGCCAGGTGTGATGGCACATGACTGTAATCCCAGCTACTCGGGAGGCCGAGGCAGGAGAATCACTTGAACCCAGGATGCGGAGGTTGTGGTGAGACGAGATCGCACCATTGCACTCCCGCCTGGGCAACAAAAGCGGAACTCCGTCTAAAAACAAAAACAAAAACAAAAACAAAAAAACCTGCCTTTGGCCAGGTACAGTGGCTCAGGCCTGTAATCCCAGCATTTTGGGAGGCCGAGGTAGGTGGATCATATTTACCTTCTAAATATCTCTCAAAACCTCACTTTCCCTTCATATTCACTGGCACCTCCTATTCAGCATCTCATCACTCATTCAACAATATTTAATGAGTACGAAGCATAGCTAGGTGTTTTTAAATAGAATAAAAACAGTGTGATCTTTGTTTTCTGGTGGCTCAACATCTAGTTATTTCTTTTTTCTTTTTTTTTCCCAAGACAGAGTCTTGTTCTGTCGCCCAGGCTGGAGTACAGTGGCACGATCTCAGCTCACTGTAACTTCCACCTCTTGGATTCAAGCAATTATCCTGCCTCAGTCTCCCAAGGAGCTGGGAATACAGGTGTGCACCACCACGCCCAGCTATTTTTTCTATTTTTAGTAAAGATGAGATTTCATCATGTTGGCCAGGCTGGTCTCCAACTCTGACCTCGTGATCCACCCACCTCGGCCTCCCGAAAGGCTAGGATTACAGGCATGAGCCACCGCGCCCAGCCAACAGCAAGTTATTTTTTATCTGAACTATTAGGTATACTCTTGTCTCTTACCATTCATTCTCAGAGTAGTACCCAGTCTGGGAATGGTAAGAGACAAGAGTATACCTGCGTACACCATGCCAATAGTACCCAGAGTTTCTCCTCTTCAAAACATAGATCATTTTGTTCAGGGGTCAGTAAACTTTTTCTATAAAAACCAGACAGTAAATATTTTAGGTTTCTGGGTCATATGTCCTCTGTTGAAACTACTCAACTCTGCTCTTGTAACATTAAAAACAGCCATGGACAATATGTAAACCCATGGGTGACACTGTATTCCAATATGGTTTATTCACAAAAGAAGGCACCGGGCCAGATTTGACCCATGGGCTGTAGAGTTTGCCGACCCCTGATTTAATCACAGTGCTTCTTACTCCATTGGAATTATCCAGATTCCTTTCCATAGCCTAGAAGGTGTTCCATCCTCATCTGAATATTACTTCCTCCTTCAGGCTCCACTATGCTCCAGCCACCCTGACCATCTTTGTGGTGCTTAAACACCATGCCAAGTCCGTTCACATCTCAGGTCCCTGCACTCGATGTCCTACCCATCAGGACCACTCTTGCCCAGATCTTCTTTGAGCTGCCTCAGCTCAAATGTCACCTCCTCAGAGAGGTCTTCACTGCCCACCCCAATAGGTCTGTGCCCATCCCAATGCCCAAATATTCTAACTCCCACAGCTCCATTTATTTTCTTCAAATTACTTATCACCATCTGAAAACATATCATTTGTTGCATATATATAGTCTTCTTTCCCACCACCACACCACCACTAGAATGGAAGCTCCCTGAGAACAGAGACTGTCTTACTCATTCTCCCCTAAGTTCCCAGCACCTAGATCTGTGCCTGGCACCTGGCAGGGGCTCAGAAAATATCTGTTATCAGCCGGGCACAGTGGCTCATGCCTATAATCCCAGCACTTTGGGAAGCTGAGGTGGGTAGATCACCTGAGGTCAGGAGTTCAAGACAAGCCTGGCCAACATGGTGAAACCCCATCTCTACTTAAAAAATACAAAAATTAGCCAGGTGTGGTGGTACACACCTGTAATCCCAGCAACTCGGGAGGCTGAGGAAGGAGAATCGCTTGAATCCAGGAGGCAGAGGTTGTGGTGAGCCGAGATCACACCATTGCACTCCAGCCTGGGCAACAAGTGTAAAACTCCATCTCAAAAAAAAAAAAAAAAAAAAAGAAAGAAAAAGAAAAGAATATGAACAGTTGGCGAGATCAAAACTTCTGGCCCAAAGGGCCTGCAGCTGGTCTGACCATTCATCAAACAATCTGAGTTTAAATGGAGACACATTGGACTGCCACATGCAATAAAGGAACTGAAGCAGCAAATGGTCTTGATTTGGGTTTCCTTTCTACCCTACATGGCTCCAGCAAATGGAGGAGTGAGTGTGCCTGCAGTGTTCCTGACACATCTAGGGTAGTTCATATTCACAGTGGTCAACCTTTGGGATTCCCCACACATCACAGGGTCATCGTCCATCTAGGCTAACCTAGAATGTCCAGATAAAAGCTCCTGTTTAGAGACTGGAGAGAAAATTGTCAAACCTGAACGCCCATGAACTGTCTCAGGCAGGGGAGAACACATGTAGAAAAGACTACAGAGTCTGACGTCAGAAGCCTAATTTCAGATTGACCTGTACAGCTTTATGATTGTGAGTAATTAACTTACTTTCTCTAGGCTCTGTTATTCTCACATCAATAATGAGAAAAGCAGACCAAATAGTTTCCCAGATCTCTTCCAATTTTAACACCTTCTGACTTTATGATTAAAGAGTGATACTAATAAGGCTAAAACTGTGTCTTAACCCCAATAGGAGCCTGCTGGGATTATGCTAAGCAAAACTATTCCACACAGACAGAGCCATTCTGACCACATCCCTCCCTACACCAGCTAACATACAGATAGGCACCACTGGTATGAGAAGTCCCTCCTACAGAGGACATTGACTGATTCAGTAATAGGTTGATTTAGTCATTCAACCAACAAATATTTACTGAGCACTTTCTAGGTATTTAGGGATACAACAGAACAAAACAGACAAAATCCCTTCCCTTATGGAGCTTACGTTTTAGTGAAGAAGAGTGGGGGAGTCAGACATCAAATAGGAAATGAGTTGAGGATATATTTCACGCAGAGCACCCTGGAGCCGCTTTTGATAAGTTGATTTTTGAGCCTCAATCCAAAGCAGTGAGACAATGAGCCATGCAGACGCCAGAGGAAGAATGTTCCAGGCAGAGGGAACAGCAAGGCCCAGAGATAGGACAGGGTCAAGCATGCCTGGCATGTTAAAGGAAACACCATAAGCTCAGTGTTTATACAGAGAAGTAAGAGCAGAAGAGTAGCAGGAAGCACAGAGAGACAGGTAGTAGGGGGGCAGATCATGTAGAAAACAGAAAGCCACACAGAGTTTGAACAGAGGGGTAAACAAGATCTGAATTCCACTGTAAAAGGACTGTTCTAGCTGTTGTATTGAGAGTACAGGTGTGGCTCACACCTGTAATCCCAATGCTTTGGGAGGCCAAAGTAGGCAGATCACTCGAGGCCAGGAGTTCAAGACCAGCCTGGCCAACACGGCGAAACCCTGTCTCTACTAAAAATACAAAAAAATTAGCCAGGCATAGCGGTTCGCGCCTGTAATCCCAGCTACTAGGGAGGCTGAGGTAGAAGAATCGCTTGAACCTGGGAGATGGAGGTTACAGTAAGCAGAGATCACAGCATTGCATTCCAGCCTTGGCGAGAGAGTAAGACTCCGTCTCAAAAAACAAACAAACAAACAAACAAACAAACAAACAGAATAGACTGAAGGAGGCAAGCATGGAAACAAGGAAACCAGTTAGGAGATTACTGAGATAATCCAGGTGAGAGATGATGGCAGATGGCCCAGGGTGGCAGCAGTGAGGAATGATGAGGGACAGACTCTGGGATATATTCTGAAGTTGAATCAACAGGACACTGGAGGACAGGATGATCTTGGAAAATCTTGGGGACTACTGCAGAATCGAATGAAGCTAAATGGCATTAAATTTCAACATCCACTGTGAAATCCTGGGATCAGGGATTTGTTCATCTCTGACACCTAGTGTCCCACCCAGTACTTGGCACATAATGAAGATATAAAAAGTCTTCAACTCTTGAATAAATGTGGAATGAATATATTACAAAGCCAAAAAACCTGCAGTTTGATAGGTCATTAGGAGACCAAAAACATCTGGTACTAGATGTATTTTACTAACAGAGTCTCGCTCTGTTGCCCCGGCTGGCAATGGTGTGATGTCAGCTCACTGCAACCTCTGCCTCCCAGGCTCAAGCAATTCTCATGCCTCACCCTCCCCAGTAGCTGGGACTACAGGAACCCACCACCATGCCCGGCTTTTTTTTTTTTTTTGTATAGTAGAGATGGGTTTTCACCATGTTGCCAAGGGTGGTCTCAAACTCCTGAACTCAGGCAATCCACCCATACCCATCTTGGCCTCCCAAAGTGCTAGGATTACAGGTATGAACCACCGCACTCAGCCTAAATCTATTTCTTTTTATAAAAAATTCCCTTTAATATGGCCGGACACGGTGGCTCATGCCTGTAATAGGGCAGATCATGAGGTCAGGAGATCGAGACCATCCCGGCTAATACGGTGAAACTCCGTCTCTACTTAAAATAAAAAAATAAATAAAAATAAAAAATTTCCCTTTATAACTCATTTCATAGTAGTAACGAAGCAACTTCACATTATACAGGTAAGAATCTGAACAACTTGGCCATTTCCCTGAGAGGCCAGATGTAGTCACCAAACCTCAGCAACTCCCATCTAAAATACAGGGATAAGTGTTACACAAGTAAATAGTAAATCACGGGCCAGGCACAGTGGCTTATGCCTGTAATCCCAGCACTTTGGGAGGCTGAGGCGGGTGGATCACGAGGTCAGGAGATCAAGACCAGCCTGGCCAACATGGTGAAACCCCGCCTCTATTAAAAATACAAAAATCAGCTAGGTGTGGTGGCAGGTGCCTATAATCCTCCAGCTACTCTGGAGGCTGAGGCAGAGAAATGCTTGAACCTGGGAGGTGGAGGTTCCAGTAAGCCGAGACTGTGCCACTGCACTCCAGCCAGGGCAACAGAGGGAGACTCCATCTCAAAATTAAAATAAAACAAAACAAAATAAAATAAAATATAAAAATAAAGACATAAAAGATGTCACTTACATGAACAGGTGTTCAGGGCTCGTGTGGAGGAGCTGTGGATAAGGACGAAAGTCGACTTGGAAACAATGGAGTCCAACTGGAGTTACTGGATGAGGAAAGGAGAGAAAGAGAGAGAAAAGGAAAAGGGTAAGGGGAGTGGAAGATTCGCCTTAGTGTGAAGGTCATCTATGATTGCTGACAAAGGCAGTGGAAAATGTTGGAGGAGATCTGAAAATATTGCTAAAGGTTGGTGGTTTCAGAAAATCTTGTAACATTTCCTTTACTTTAAAACTTAGCATCTCAAGGGTTTTTAGTATGAGTTTTTTTTTCTCCGCCCCCCCGCCCCCCAATGGATTTCAGAGTAGTTGAACCATTCAGCCACAGAAAATAACTCTGGTATGAACCACATTTGAATATTACCAATAAAGACATGGGACTCTCCTCCTCTGAGGTCGAGTGCGTCTATTCACTTGCTGCTCAGCCTCCTCTTCTGCCCATCCTCACCTCCTTTTCTGGCATTTGCTCCTCCCCAGGAGGAGATTCACACCCTCCTCACAGAGCCAGCTGCCACCTCCCACTCTTTGAGGCTCCATCACATGCCTGGCTCCACCACCTTCTCATGTGTGACATCTACCTTTCCCCAAGCTGAGAACACAGTGCACCCATGGTGTGTTTAAGGAGACAGTTCTGATGGCCACAAAATTATTTTGTTATGTGGTCTGTGATTTGAATTGCCCTGTCCTGTCCAAAGACTAATGCATGCTTCATGGTCAGGCCAAGTAAGGTTATGTTGGAATGAGAAACTACCAAGCACCTTTAATTCCTTCCAAGATCTTTTATGAGTGGGACAAAGTCAAGAGCTGTTAGTGATGGTGAGAGTGGAGATTCTCCTTCTGGTGACAGCTGCTGCACTCTGGTGATGATGGCAGGTCCAGCACTGCTCCAGCACCCAATCCTTGCAGTGTCTTCTATGGCGCTTGCACATTCTTTATATAATACAGGCTTTGCTGTCTCAGTTTCTGCAATCACTATCACAACTGCCCCTAACAAAAGCAATGACTGCATTCCTCACAACCTTGAATTTGAGCTTTGTCTTGAGAAATGAAGGTTTCTACAGGTTTCATCATGTTCACACTAATCCAAACTGAAGATTTAGCTCCAGGAATATTTATCTTTCTCTATTACTTCCCTTAGCAAAAAATGTGTTAACTTCCAATCTTCAATTCTTCACCAATGCTTTGATGCTTTGGCTAAATCAAAAGCATGCTGAGGGCAGGGCACAGTGGTTCACACCTGTAATCTCAGCACTTTGGGAGGCTGAGGCAGGCTGATCACAAGGTCAGGAGTTCAAGACCAGCCTGGCCAACATGGTGAAACCCCATCTCTTCTAAAAATACAAAAATTAGACAGCACAGTGGCATGCACCTATAATCCCAGGTACTCCGGAGGCTGAGGAAGGAGAACTGCTTGAGCCTGGCTGCAGTGAGCCAAGATTGCACCACTGCACTCCAGCCTGGGTGACAGAGTGAGACTCTGTATCAAAAAAAGGAAGAAAGAAAAAAAGCTTCAGGGCGGTTCCAAGATGGCCGAATAGGAACAGCTCCAGTAAACAGCTCCCAGTGTGAGTGACACAGAAGACGTGTGATTTCTGCATTTCCAAATGAGGTACCAGGTTCATCTCATTGGGGCTTGTTGGACAGTGGGTGCAGGACAGTGGGTGCAGCCCACTGAGCGTGAGCCAAAACAGGGTAAGGCATCACCTCAACTGGAAAGTACAAGGGGTCAGGGAATCCCCTTTCCTAGCCAAGGGAAGCTGTGACAGATGGCACCTGGAAAATCGGGTCACTCCCACCCTAATACTGTGCTTTTCCAATGGTCTCAGCAAATGGCACACCAGGAGATTATATCCTGCACCTGGCTCGGAGAGTCCCACACCACAGAGCCTCGCTCATTGCTGGCACAGCAGTCCGAGATCAAACTGCAAGGTGGCAGCAAGGCTGGGGGAGGGGCACCCACCATTGCTGAGGCTTGAGTAGGTAAACAAAGTGGCCAGGAAGCTCAAATGGGGTGGAGCCCACTGTGGCTCAAGGAGGCCTGCCTGCCTCTGTAGACTCCACCTCTGGGGGCAAGGCATAGCCGAACAAAAGGCAGCAGAAACCTCTGCAGAGTTAAATGTCCCTGTCTGACAGCTTTGAAGAGCGTAGTGGTTCTCCCAGCATGAAGTCTGAGATCTGAGAATGGACAGACTGCCTCCTCAAGTGGGTCCCTGATCCCCGAGTTGCCTAACTGGGAGGCACCCCCTAGCAGGGGCAGACTGACACCTCACACAGCAGGCTACCTCTCTGAGACGAAGCTTCCAGAAGAACGATCAGGCAGCAACATTTGCTGTTCAGCAATATTCGCTGTTCTGCAGCCTCCGCTGCTGATACCCAGGCAAACAGGGTCTGGAATGGACCTCCAGCAAACTCCAACAGACCTGCAGCTGAGGGTCCTGACTGTTACAAGGAAAACTAACAAACAGAAAGGACATCCACACCAAAATCCCATCTGTATATCACCATCATCAAAGACCAAAGGTAGATAAAACGACAAAGATGGGGAAAAAACACAGCAGAAAAGCTGAAAATTCTAAAAATCAGAGCACCTCTCTCCCTCCAAAGGAATGTAGCTCCTCGCCAGCAATGGAACAAAGCTGGATAGAGAATGACTTTGACTAGTTGAGAGAAGGCTTCAGACAATCAAACTTCTCTGAGCTAAAGAAGGAAGTTCGAATCCATCACAAAGAAGCTAAAAACCTCGAGAAAAGATTAGACGAATGGCTAACTAGAATAAGCAGTGTAGAGAAGTCCTTAAATGACCTGATGGAGCTGAAAACCATGGCACGAGAACTACGTGACGAATGCACAAGCTTCAGTAGCCAATTCAATCAACTGGAAGAAAGGGTATCAGTGATTGAAGATCAAATGAATGAAATGAAGCGAGAAGAGAAGTTGAGAGAAAAAAGAGTAAAAAGAAACGAACAAAGCCTCAAAGAAATATGGGACTACGTGAAAAGACCAAATCTGCGTCTGATAGTGTACCCGAAAGTGATGGGGAGAATGGAACCAAGTTGGAAAACACTCTGCAGGATATTATCCAGGAGAACTTCCCCAACCTAGTAAGGCAGGCCAACATTCAAATTCAGGAAATACAGAGACCACCACAAAGATAATCCTCGAGAAGAGCAACTCCAAGGCACATAATTGTCAGATTCACCAAAGTTGAAATAAAGGAAAAAATCTGAAGGGCAGCCAGAGAGAAAGGTCGGGTTACCCACAAAGGGAAGCCCATCAGAATAACAGCAGATCTCTTGGCATAAACTCTACAAGCCAAGCCAAAAGAGAGTGGGGGCCAATATTCAACATTCTTAAAGAAAAGAATTTTCAACCCGGAATTTCATATCCAGCCAAACTAAGCTTCATGAGTGAAGGAGAAATAAAATCCTTTATAGACAAGCAAATGCTGAGAGATTTTGTCACCACGAGGCTTGCCCTACAAGAGCTCCTGAAGGAAGCACTAAACATGGAAAGGAACAACCAGTACCAGCCACTGCAAAAACATGCCAAATTGTAAAGACCATCAATGCTAGGAAGAAACTGCATCAACTAACGAGCAAAATAACCATCTAACATCATAATGACAGGATCAAATTCACACATAACAATATTAACCTTAAATGTAAATGGGCTAAATGCTCCAATTAAAAGACACAGACTGGCAAATTGGATAAAGAGTCAAGACCCATCAATGTGCTGTATTCAGGAGATTCATCTCATGTGCAGAGACACACATAGGCTCAAAATAAAGGGATGGAGGAAGATCTACCAAGCAAATGGAAAACAAAAAAAGGCAGGGGTTGCACTCCTAGTCCCTGATAAAACAGACTTTAAAACAACAAAGATCAAAAGAGACAAAGAAAACCATTACATAATGATAAAGGGATCAATTCAACAAGAAGAACTAATTATCCTAAATATATATGCGCCCAACACAGGAGCACCCAGATTCATAAAGCAAGTCCTTAGAGACCTACAAAGAGACTTAGACTCCCACACAATAATAATGGGAGACTTTAACACCCCACCGTCAACATTAGACAGATCAATGAGATAGAAAGTTTTTTTTTTTTTTTTTTTTTTTTTTTTGAGACGGAGTCTCGCTCTGTCGCCCAGGCTGGAGTGCAGTGGCGCGATCTCGGCTCATTGCAAGCTCCGCCTCCTGGGTTTACGCCATTCTCCTGCCTCAGCCTCCTGAGTAGCTGGGACTACAGGCGCCCGCCACCGCGCCCGGCTAATTTTTTGTATTTTTAGTAGAGATGGGGTTTCACCGTGGTCTCGATCTCCTGACCTTGTGATCCGCCCGCCTCGGCCTCCCAAAGTGCTGGGATTACAGGCGTGAGCCACCGCGCCCGGCCGAGATAGAAAGTTAACAAGGATATCCAGGAATTAAACTCAGCTGTGCACCAAGTGGACCTAATAGGCATCTACAGAACTCTCCACCCCAAATCAACAGAATATACATTCTTCTCAGCACCACATTGCACTTATTCCAAAATTGACCACATAGTTGGAAGTAAAGCACTCCTCAGCAAATGTACAAGAACAGAAATTATAACAAACTGTCTCTTAGACCACACTGCAATCAAACTAGGACTCAGGATTAAGAAACTCCCTCAAAACCACTCAACTACATGGAAACTGAACAACCTGCTCCTGAATGACTACTGGGTACATAATGAAATGAAGGCAGAAATAAAGATGTTCTTTGAAACCAATGAGAACAAAGACACAACATACCAGAATCTCTGGGACACATTTAAAGCAGTGTGTAGAGGGAAATTTATAGCACTAAATGCCCACAAGACAAAGCAGGAAAGATCTAAAATTGACACCCTAACATCACAATTAAAAGAACTACAGAAGCAAGAGCGAACACATTCAAAAGCTGGCAGAAGGCAAGGAATAACTAAGATCAGAGCAGAACTGAAGGAGATAGACACACAAAAAATCCTTCAAAAAAATCAATGAATCCAGGAACTGGCTTTTTTGAAAAGATCAACACTGATAG